TTCAGGATTGTTGATTCTCTGTTTGGCTTAGTTTTTCGGATCTTTGTTGTGGAGGGATGGCGTGGTGTTTCTGCCTAGAGCGCCATCTTGCCGGAAGTCCTCCAATAGGCTTTATTTTTAAGAGCGTTTTTAGGCTTGCAGGAAAATTGCACAGAAAGTGTAGAGAGTTCCCCTATACTTCCTCCCCTCTATAAAAAGTGTCTCCTGATCATAGAAGAAAAAATAGGGACAATGCTACATGGCATAAAGACAGTACAAACCATAACGAATAACGTGCAAACACCAGAAGATAAACTAGATAACTGGGAGCTCCTAAAAAATAAAACACACTCATCAAAACCCAAAACCACACCTGTTGCTGTCGAGTCGTTTCTGATTCATAGCGACTCTATAGGACAGAGTAGAACTGCCCCATAGGGTTTCCAAGGAGTGGCTGGTGGCTTTGACCTGCCGACCTTTTGGTTAGCAGGCAAGCTCTTAACCAGGACACCACCAGGGCTCCATGCTCATTGAAAGACTTCACTAAAAGTAAAAAGAGAACCTACAGACCGGGAAAAAAGTTTTTGGCTAGACATATCTGACAAGGGTCTGATCGCTAAAATCTACAGAATACTTCAACACCTCAGCAACAAAAAAAGACAAATAATCCAATTTAAAAATGGGCAAAGGATATGAACAAACACTTCACCAAAGAAGACATTCAGGCGGCTAACAGACACATGAGGAAATGCTCGCTATCATTAGCCATTGAAGAAATGCAAACCAGAAGTACAATGAGATATCATCTCACCCCAACATTACTGGCACTAATCAAAAAAACAGAAAATAACAAATGTTGGAGAGGCTTCGGGGAGACTGGAACCTCTTATGCACGGGTTGTTTATCCATTCACCTAAATGTTGTCTTTTTTAGTAACACATTGTTTCATACTCAAGTTTCCTTTAAAATTCTAAGTTTCTAGGACTTCTGTGGATAATCAGTAGTAGCTATGATGGAAAAGCGTGAAGAAGAGGGAAGATACATATGAAGTGCGGTTTTGATTTGTGAACTTTAAGCAGGTATTAAAGGTTGCTGATAATGTTTGTGGAGTTAATGAATTAATGATGAAAGAGAAAAGGTAATTAATTTTTTTAAATTATGATATATGTGTATATATGTATATATACACGTATGTATATATGTATATATACATATATGTATATATGTGTATATATAGTACATATATGTGTATATACATACGTACATATATACCACAATTTTAGAATATGTATATATAACAAAACAAAATATGTAAATATATATACATGTAATAAAAATATATATCCAACAAAACATTTCCCTTTTCAGTCTTTTTAGGTGTAAATTTAGTGACATTAATTACATTCACCATGTTGTGCAAGCATCACCACTGTCTGTTTCTGAACTTTTTCATCACCCTTAACAGAGACTCAGTGTCCCCTAAGTAATAACTCCCCTGTCCCCTCTCCCACCTACCACTGATAAACTTTGGTCTTTATGCATTTGCCTATTCTAGATATTTCAGATAAATGGGATCATACATTATTTGTCCATTTGTGCCTAACTTATTTCACTCGGCGTAACATTTTCAAGGTTCATCCATGTCATAATATGTATCAGAACTCATTTCTCTTTAAGGCTGAATTATACTGCATTGTGTGTAAGTACCACATTTTGTTTATCCATTCAACTGTTGATGGACACTTCAGTTGTGTCCACTTTTTGGTTCTTGTGAATAGTGCTGCAGTGTACATTGTTGTATAAGTGCCTGTTTGCATCCCTGCTTTCAAGTCTTTTGGGTATATACTGAGGGCTGGAATTACTGGGTCATATGGTAATTGTATGTTTAACTTTTTGAGGAACTGGCAAATTGTTTTCCACAGCGAGCTGTATCGTTTTACAATTTCACCAACAATGGATGAGGGTTCCAATTTTTCCACATCCTTTCCAACATTTGTGGTTTTCCATTTTTCTGATAATAGCCATCCTAATGGGTGTGAAGTGGCATCTTGTTGTGGTTTTGATGTGCATTTCCCTAATGACTAATGACGTTGAGCATCTTTCCGTGTGCTTGTTGTCCATTTGTATATCTTTTTTGGTGAAATGTCCATTCAAGTCCTTTGCCTATTTTTTAACTGAGTTGTTTTTCTTTTTTATTGTTTAGTTGTAGGAGTTCTTTATATAACCTGGGATATTAAACCCTTATCGGATACATGGTTCCCAAATATTTTCTCCCATGCTATAGGTTGTCTCTTCATTTTGTCGATAAAGTCCTTTGATGTGCAAAACTTAATTTTGATCAAGTCCAGTTAATCTATTCTGTCTTTCGTTGGTTGTGCTTTTTGTGTCTTGTCTAAGACTCCACTGTTGAAAGCAAGGTCCTGAAGCATTACTCCTGTATTTTTTTTCTAAGAATTTTATATTTCAGCTCTTACATTTGGGTCCTTGATGATTTTTCAGTTAATTTTAGTAAATGGTGTGAGGTATGGGATCCTACTTCATTCTTTTGCGTGTGGAGATCCAGTTGTCCCAGCACCATTTATTCAAGAGACTATTGTCTCCCCATTGACTGGACTTAGCCCTCTTGTTGAAAACCAATTGACCTTAGATGTATAAAAGGTAGTTGATTTTTATCATAAAAGTTACGTTTGCTTATGGTAAGATACGCACAAAATAGAATGTAAAATTTCCCTGGCTTGCCTTTCTACATCTGAGACATGGTACCATTTCTTGTATATGGTTCTAGAAATGTTCATTTATAAACATGTATTTAGAGAAAATATCTGTCTTTTTATTGCTCTACAGGTTGGACTTACGACATATTACTTTGTGGCTTGCTTTGTTTTCCTATTTATTAATTAACCATTTGTAATAATAATATAAAAATAGCTAATATTTAATGTGCCAGGCACAAGTTACCATATATTAGCGTCAAAAGACACTACTTCTGAATCAGCACCCTTCCCTTCTTTTTAACCTTCCTTCTCAGGGTCAACCAGGATTACTGGGACCACAGGGTCCAATTGGATACCTGGGACCTCCAGGACCTATTGGGATTCCAGGAGAGAAAGGGATGAGAGGTGACAGTGGCCCTCCTGGAGCAGTAGGGGAGAAGGGGGACAAGGTAAGCCTGTTCTTAAGAGAAAGATTTATGTTAACCACTCACCAGCACCATTATGCCAGCTTTTTTTCTTAATAATCACACGTAGTGCGTACTAGTACCTTATATACGATGAAGTCCAGACTGCTCTTTGACAATCAGCCCTTATGCCTTTTACAGAGGAGCGTGCCCTTCCAGACCTTTCCTATGCACTTAAATACATAAGTATGTAGCCAATGAGGCATCGTAGTACACCTCCTCCTCACTTACCGACTCTCTCGCTATCCAACGTTTCACATTTACAACAATAGTGAAAAATCTACTATCTGACGAATTTGCACATTAACGAGACAGTAGGCATGGTGACAACGTCTGTGGAGCGTCCCTTCCTCAAGGAGGGTATCCGGGCAGTCTCTGGGAAGCTGGGCCAAGCTGCCCATGCCCTCTGCTCCCTCCTGCTGTAGAGGGCTCTGCATCCAGCTGCTGCTCAGGCTGGCCTCCTCCATGATCACAGCCTCTGGGCAACCTCTGGGATCATGAACGCAGGGTTTGCAGGGGTGGGAGTGGGGCCTTGGAGGCGACTCTGCAAGGGAAGCTCTGACCCAGCACAGGAGGAAGGTGAGATGGTTAAACCGTGGGCCCTCCAGTCATACAGCCCGGCTTCATCCCGCTTTGTCTCCCCTAAGCCTCCTTCTCCCCAGAGGAATAACCCATAACTGGACTCGTCACAGTGATAAGCACATCAGTAAATCTTAGCTGTTATTATTTCTATGATCATATATTTGAAATAAGAAAAAATCACATAAATGGATGGTCTGAAAACAGAAAAAAAAAAATCCCCCATTTTCACATAATGCCAACTTTCCAATAATGACCTGGTCTTTGGAACCTACTCATGTTGATATGCGAGGAGTGGGTGTATTGGTGTGTGGCTTTTTTAAAAAACTTAAATGATATCATGTTGTATGTATCATTCTGAACCTCTTTTTTTCCACTCAACGGTGTGTCTTAAAGATCATTCCATATCAATTTATAAAGATTGAACATATTCTTTTTTAAAAATACTGCATAATCTGCCCTAGTGTAGATAAGATATAGTTTATTCTCTGACGAGAATTTGAGATTCTACCTCAATTTCATGCAGTGCAATTGTGCAAAAACAATCTTGCACGTTACCCGTGCTCACATTTACAAGTGTTTGTCTCTGGGATAAATTCTGAGAAGTTGAATTTCTGGCTCACAGGGTGTTGAAAGTTTTATTATAATTGATTCTGCCAAGTTGCTTTCTTAAATAGAGATGCCAAAAGATGACTTCTTACATGCTGGCATTTAAGTCCATCAATGTAAGAACAGATGACAATGACTACTAAGTGTTTTTAGCTATGAGCCATCGTTTCTTAGCGTTTTCAAGTAAATCTACTTATTAACCTAATAATGTAGCAACATTTATTTTTGTCTTATTTTCTGGGATTTAAGGGTCCAACTGGTGTTCCTGGATTTCCAGGTTTGGATGGCATACCTGTAAGTATCCCTAAATGTTTTCCATTTTTTTTAAAGAAAGAAGAAACATTTATCAAAACCCATAAGACAACATGTTCAAAAAAAATATAGGGCAGTCTCTGTATTTTCTCACCTTAGTGAAGAAGGGTGCATGTATTCTAATTTTGTATAATAACTTTGAGAGCCAGAACACTTTAGTTTGAAGAGCAAGATTTTCAAAACAGTTTAGACAAAAACATTCCAAGCTTGATATACTTGCCATGTCAAGTACAATGCTCTGGAAATAAATCTATACTCATAATGAAAGTTTTTATTTGTCTGTGAGTCCTAAAATTGGAAGTAGATTTAAGATTCTCATTTCTAATATGAAAATCAAATGAAAGAAGGAAGAGTTATTTTGGGGGATTTACAATTGAGTCTTCATAAGAATTTCAAGGAAAATTGCCTCCTAAATTTTCAAACTAAATTAACTAAAATTTGGGTGTATTAAATTTTTTAAACTATGCTGCATAGTACTTGTGGGTGAAGAGGGAAGTTTCACAGAAATAAGTGAACATGTGAGTCATTGTTACCATAACTTGGGTACCCATACTGCATAATCTTTACATCATAATATTCTTGTAAAAATGCTTCATTTACAATTTGTTTTCTGTAGGGACACCCAGGGCCTCCTGGATCCAGAGGCAAACCTGGCATGAATGGCTACAATGGCTCAAGAGGTGATCCAGGGCTTCCAGGAGAAAGAGGAGCTCCTGGCCCAGGAGGACGCCCAGTAAGACATTCATAACTCATCCTAATAGGAATCTTAAGTGCAAAAACCCTAAAGCAGGATTAGGCTTGGTGTGTTCCAGAAACAGAGTTAATACAAGTGTGCCTGGAGCATGATGATAAAATGGGGGTGGCCAGGAGACGAAGACAAAGAGGTGGTCAGGACCTAGGACACATGGGGCCTTGTAGACTGTGGATGGAGACTCTATTTTATTTTCCATGCTGTGCTGAATGGTTTTAAGGAAGGATCTGATTGACGTTTCAATAAGATGCCCCTGCTGCTGGGCAGACAACGGATGGTAGGGGAAAGGGAGCAGGGAAGACAATTAGCAAAACTGATGTTGTTCATTGGTCAGGGTTCAGAGCAGACATGTGAACCCTTCTAGGGATTTCGAACGGAAAGGAATTTAATACAGGGAATTTCATACTTACTGGAATCGTTGGAGGAGTGGAACTGGAAGGCCACCACTGAACTACTGATTTCGAGGTCTCACACTTGGCTGAGATCCGGAAGTCAGGAAGTGATGCCTGCACTATAGCTTACACTGCCTCTCACCCTGCATGTAGATACTAGCAAGCAAACACTTGTTTCTACCTTCCTGCTTGGTTGGCAGCAACAACGGTACCAGGAAAAGCACATCTTCCTCATGTCGCCTTCCGCATCTCACCAAGTACCACACCTAGATGCAACTAATTCATGCCCAGCTGCAAAGGAACCTGAGAAATGTCGGTTTTTGCTTTCTGGCCCCGAGTTGTAAGATGATAAATAGAAGGAGTTTGGAATGTATACCCGGGAACAGTTGACAATATGTAGCACTTGAAGAAATCTTTACTGCTCTTGGGTTGTTGTTCTTTCTTTTTTTTTTTCCCCCCAAAATTTGGACTTTTATTTAAGCATAATTTCAGTAGGAACCACCCTTTCCTCTCCACCTTATATTCTCTCTATCTCTTTCTTTTTTCACTTAAATCAAGATTAGAAGTGATTTGGCCCTTCAAATTTAATTTTCTGTGATTTTTTTCTCAGACTCTCCACTCCCTAATTAAATATCATTTTCCAAGATTCAGTCTAAAAAGTTTTTTTCTGATCACCACCATAGTCATCCTTCTTTTTCCTCGTGAGTTTTCCTATTGCTCCAGATCCTAGTGGATCTGGTCTGAACACAGAACTCAAAAAGAATTGCCATACTCACATCTTTCTTATGGTACTAAGTATGAAGAACAATTATCTTTCAAGCTTCTCAACCACCCTTTACTTTCAAACTCAGCAATTTGACGACTCAAGTGCAGTTGAGTAAATGTACATTTCTTGTCTTAAAATGGGACCTAACTTCATAAGTGTCCGTGGAACATTCAAGAGAGGAGGAATTCCCAATTTTAAGTTTAACACAGCATGTAGTATGGACCACCAATACTGAAGTCTGCCATCTTGGTCTCCTTGCAAAGCAACTTCCTTCCCCCGACCCATTTCATATATATACAGGTAGTCCTCACTTTGCATGGTAATGTGGATGGTGAGAATGACCGTGCAAGCTGAAACTGTACAAAACCATCTTATTAATCAATGAGAAAAATTATAATTTTTCCATGTCCTTTAAAAATTTTGTTAAAACATTAAAAACTCCTACTGTCAGTTATAAATATGTAGGGAAATTTTTTAAAAAACCTAATATTTATTTAGTAGAATATAATTTAAAATGCTAGAAACATTGAGAATTAAAGTGTTTTACTTCATCATAAAAAACTTATCAAGAGTAGTTTAAATAGTGCTTTCTTTCTTATCCTTATACACCTTCTCCTCGCTAATCAACTCTCTTCTTATCTGACATTTTGCATTTACAACAACAGTAAAAATTCTACTTTCCGACTATTTTGTGCATTAACAATATACATCTGGTAGTTACAAATGTCAAGGTGCGAGGTGAGAGTAACACTGGCTGTGATGGTTAAGGTTATGTGTCCATTTGGCTGGTCCATTATTCTCAGTGGTTTGGCAGTTATATAATGCTATAATTTGGCAGTTATGTAATGATGTGATTTGGCAGTTTTGTAATGATGTAGTCATCCTCCGTTTTGTCATCTGATGTAGTCATCCTCCATTTTTACATAATGCCAATTTCACATAACAACCTGGTCTTTGGAACCTAACCATGTTGATAAGTGAGGAGAGGGTATATAACTTATAGTATGGAGTAAGCGTCTTTTCTATGCCTTGGCAAATTGTCATACTCCTTTCTAATTTTGGATCAGCTTCCAATATTGTGAAATATCTCTAAGAATTCCTTTAATGTGAAGTTTTTTGTCTGTGTCACTTCCTCTGGAACATCTTCATCTTTTCATCACATCCACTTTCCTCTTTTAGGTTAATAAATTTGCCTTCATTAAATTCCTCTGGCTGCATATATACAGCTTCTTGAATGACAGTGTCAACATTCCCATGATCAGCTATTTCTTCTATAGCTCCATTTACATTCAAGTTTCACAGCCAGCATTATCATTTTTTTCATTTGTTTGCTTCACTTTTACCTTTGTTGATCAGTTCTCTCTTTCAATTACCAATTTTTATAAAGTAGCTTTTGGGTTTATCACTGGGAGTCAAGGAGACAACACAGCTAGACACTTTGCTGCCTGTGTGTGACCTGGATAACGATGTGCAGTGACCATTCACCAACAGACTTTGAAAGAAGTGATGTGATCAGTCACTGATCACAATTTGTGTCTGTTATTTATGTAGTGATTTGTGGGCTGAAGACCTCGCAGTGAATTACTCAGCTGCAGTCAGTTTTCATTATTTGTGGTAGTTATGGTCTGTAAAGTCCCCATGAACACTGAATTAGTGAATACTGAACCATTGCTCCTAGGAGGAACACAAGATTGTGTTCCTATGAACCACTGGTCTAAACATTTTCATCAGCCCATCAGTACATAACCTAGCTTCATGTATGTTGCTATTTAAAGATACCTTATTTAATAGATACTATTGATTCATTAACACTGAACTCACAGCCAACAGCACGATAACTCATGCTTGAATAAAGCTTGTCTAACATACATACGTTCTCCATAAGGCTCGTCGCAGTCTTTTTGTGCTTGGAAACACTCGATAGCACTTCAGCGCTATACTTAGGAGCTATTTTAAACAGCCAAATCACCAACAAAAAACGCAAATATGAAAAATGTGACACTAAGTAGACCACAAAAGGGCAATTGTTTACAGTATGAGCACTGAAACAAGGCAGAGTGTTGCTTGTTTGAGCTCAGCTGGGAACGTGCGTGCTGGGGACTTAAAGTTTTCACCACCAAGCACGTGTCCTCCAAAGACTGTGAAAGCTCTGTGAGAATTGATTTGAGGGTTGCAAATAAATTTTAGCAAGCAAGCAAGTTCTCAAATATGGAATCTGGGAATGATGAGATCAATTGTAATATACTATGGTAACTGAAATTGGAGTCATGTTGTTGGAAGCTGGTGTTATTTAACTTAACTGTGGTATCTGAAATTCATGCGTATCAGAACTGTGCAAAACAAGGACCACCCGTACAGACAAGTCTGCTTGCTCAAGTAATCAGTTGGTGTAATTTATCATGAAACTGTTAAGTATCTCCTATTTGAAGCCAAAGATAGGCCCACTTCTAAAAGGGATTACCTTTGAATTCTATATGTCCTTCATAGGAGCTTGATATATGAAGATGATAGAATACTGTGTGGTAGCTAAGTGAAGAACAATATTAAGATATTAAGTATCGGGGGAAAAATAATACATTGAGGTATTTTGTTTACTGTTTGAAAATGCCCTAAGCAACTAGCTGCTATGTACAAAAACCTTCTAAAAGGAACATGCTATTTTTTTTTTAAGTAATTCTTCAAAGAATACATAGGCTGTATTTTGAACACAAATGCTGAAATGAATGAATTCACTTTTTTTTTTTTATGTACTATTTTCAGGGTATAAATCATTAACTGACCATTGCAAAATTGGTTATTCATAAGAATAATGCATGTGCATTATATTGTGAGCAAAAATGCAATTCTTCTGGTGAATAATTATTAAATAGTTGTAAATATTAGTAGATACCCTGTCTTAAAGTATTCTTTAATGGATCTTAACTGAATATTGAATATATATATGTATATATATCTCAGAACCTAAGATGATAATAATAAAGAGAATAGAGAAATCTCCACTAGCAGAACATGAGTACCATGGTGATTTTATTGATGACTAACATTTCATAAAGAAAAAAAAATGGAAGTTGCACTGTGCTTTTTCCTCTTCCATGAATATTTTATTTTCAGGGTCTTCCTGGAGAAAATGGAGAAAAAGGAAATTCAGTGTTCATTTTACGTGGCATCAAAGGTATTCAGGTAAGCATGCTGATCATGGTTTGCTTTTAAAAAATTGTTTCCATATAAGTAAACCCATGCAGGAAGCATATGGATAGGCATTTCCTTTGAAATGTCCCTGAGCACACTGGATTTTATCATTACCCTGACCCATGGAACAGGCACCGTGCTTCATGTACGAAGCGACTGGCTTTAGTTGCTTGGACTATAAAATTTCAGTACTGCCCAACTACTCCTGCAGAGATGCAGGGGGTACATTTATTTTAGGGTTTCCCCATCTCAGCACTATAGACATTTTGGGCTAGATAATTCTTTGATGTGGGGGCTGTCCTGTGCATTATAGGATATAGAGCAGTGTCTCTGGGCTCTACCCACTAAGTGCCAGTAGCACCTCCCCAATTGTGTCAACCAGAGATGTCTACAGACATTGCCAAATGTCCCCTGGGAGTCAAAATCACACTCAGTTGATAACCATTAAATTATTTTGTGGTTAAAATATTGTAATATTAATACTTGAGCCGTCCAGTGTAATGAAAGTCACCGATATTGAACCTGAAAATTAGGGAGACCTTTATAACACTGTCCTTAATAAATTAAACACTTTTGTGTTTAGTAGGGACTAATAGAAACAATCTAGAACTAGTTTTATCTGATTGCTATAGAATATTCTTCCCTAAGAGAAATGACCACGTCTTGAAAATGTACTGTGTATCTGTCCTTTTGATTCATCATTTCTACTGATCTCCTTCTACTTATTCATGGCTTCTCGTATTAGAGAGATGAGGTGGTATCTGAGACTTTATTCTGAATGTTTGTATATCATTCCTTGCTAAAACACACTAAAGTGTTTAATTTATCAAGGACAGTGCTATGAAGTTTTCCATAATTTTTAGGTTCAATATCAGTGACTTTTATTATATTGGATGGCAAGTATTAATACTACAATATTTTAACTACAAATAATTCAGTGGAGAATTCCTCATCTAATCAAAGTGGTTGGCAGATCAATAACCTTTGAGAAACCATGCTCTTCAGTGCCTGTATTCAAGAGAAGGTACACTCTTGGATTCTTTAATGCAGGTTGTGTCTCATGGCGGAATCACAAGGAATTTCCACGCCAGTTCTCTTTATGTCTACTGTGTTGTGCTGTCGAGTCGATGCCAACTCATAGCAACCCTATAGGACAGAGTAGAACTGCCCCGTAGGGTTTCCAAGGAGTGGCTGGTGGATTTGAACTGCTGATGTTTTGGTTAGCAGCCCAGCTCTTAACCACTGCGCCACCAGGGCTCCTACATCTACTGTAAGGTGGTAAAAAGGGGCAGAGTGTCTGTAAAACAAGCTGAGGTCTGAAAATTAAGACCAGAAACAGTTAAACTGTGAAGAAATGAGACCCTTGGACTGAACATTTAGAGCATTTTTAACTGGAAGATGAAATCTCACCTTGATTCCATGTTATCACAACTGCAGCTCCCCTTCTCTGGTTTTGGCAGAGCAGAAGTAGAATTCAGGGCATAAGAATGGAAAGAGTAAATAACTTATAGAGAGTCCTACCACATGTGCTTCTCAACACTGAAAAACTGAACAAACATCACCGTTCAACCAACCCAAATGACTCATATGTGTATTTCTATTTTTACATAATTTCCAGATTTGGAAAACTGTGTTGATCTTATAATGCAATGTGTGTTATTATTACAGGGAGACAGAGGGGACCCAGGACCTCCCGGCTTCCCAGTAAGTCTCCTGAGCAGGTCACATGCTTTTATCTGCTCCTCGGCCTAAGTTTTTTTTCATCCCAGCAGGACCAGCTACCTAATTTGTGGGGCCTGGAGCAAAATGAAAATGTGGGTTCCATGTTCAAAATTTATTCAGAATTTCAAGATGGTGACAGCAGAGCATTAAACCAAGCGCAGAGCCCTTCCAAGCATGGCACCTCGTGTGGCTGCACAGTTCTCATGCCCGTGAAGCTAGCTCTGAATCATTTAGTTGTAGGTTCGAGTCCACCCAGAGGTACATTGGAAAAAAGGCCTGGTGATCTACTTCCGAAAAATCAGCCATTGAAAAACTTCTGGAGCACAGTTCTACTCTGATGCACTTGGGGCCACCATGAATCAGAGTACACTTGATGGCTACTGGTTTTGATTTTTTCCAGCTGGGATTACATGAAGCTTTTGCTATGAAACATGGTTATGATTTTGGGTATTACTAATGCACTGATTTTTCCTGTGTTTAGGGATCTAGGGGAGCGAGTGGACCAGCAGGCCCAATGGGCTTTCCAGGAGAGCTGGGGTTAACAGTAAGTACAATGGTCCCTCCGGTACTCAGAGTTGATGCTTAAATAAAGTAACAAAGCAACATTGTAGTCTTGGGTCGGGCACAAGGGGGTTCTTTGAGAAATTATAACCTGATGAATCAGCGCAAACCCACCACTTTTACTGGAAATCCAGCTTAAACCACAGGTCCCCTGGGGTCAGCCATCAGCTTCATCTTCATAAACAACACAGCCCATCCGTGATAGAAAGTGCATTGTACATGCTTTAAAGTGAAGGGTTTCCCAAATAGGACCTTGGGGTAACCAGTGAAGACACATTCATGTTTCTGTGACTGACCGTTGATCTGTGTTTGTTTGCCACTGATTTAGGGTCCTCCTGGCCCTCCTGGGAGTCCAGGTTTGAAGGTAGGCAGCCAAGAGTAAGACAACCAAATAGAGCTCAGCTACAATGGAATAACTGATCTTGGTATTGTTAAGTTGTATCTTTCCTCTTATTAGACTTCATAAAATATTTAATATATTGCCCGTCTTCATCTCCCTGGCCTTCAAGATTAAAATTGAAAATAATTTTTCTTCCCAATAATTAACCTGTAGTTTCTCTTTATAACTTCTGGCTATCGACAGAATTCCTTTCCCAGGTTGGTTTTCCTGCTACTGCTAAAGCTCAAAATATATCTTTCAGTTCTGCATAATAAATGAGATCACTTGATAGCACTGTTAAACTAAATACTAGTAAATAATTAGATAATCTTCAATAAATTGCTGAGCCAGAAGCCTTATTTGCTTTTGATCGCTTTTTAAAAATTAAAAGCAGTTAGTTTTTTGTTTTTGTTTTTTTTTTCCTTTTTCTTTTCAGGGTAATCCTGGCGTGGGAGTTAAGGGGCAAAAGGGAGACCCGGTAGGTATCCACATTTGCACAGAGAAGCAGATGTTGGAATATATGTGCTGCAGAAGTTGTTCTGATTATTATTTAATGTGTGTTGATTCTCTAGTCACTGCTTGATTTTATGGCTGAATACTTGTTGTTGTTTTTTTTAATATTTAATAATGTTACTTGAAACATTGTTCTGCTTCCCAAACTCCATTTATCAAGAGCGTTAATGGTTTGAATTACTAGGGGAAATAAAAAACTGTAGCTAAAGTGATTTGTAACTATATATTGGAATATTTACTTTGCTCCACTGAACATAGAAAGCATTTATATGTACTAAGCATTTTATTTCTTTAATAAAATAATACTTAGAGGAAGATAATGTATAAATCCCATTTCACAGACAAGGAAAGTGACGTTTAGTTTAGAGGAGTTAAGGAAAATAGCGAGCAGAAATGAATTTTAGGTATTTCCCCCAAAGTAATTTGCAAAGTAATTTGCAAATCAGTAAGGGCCTGGTTTGCAAATGCAAGTGACCTGCCCAAGGACCTGTTTTTAGCTATGAAATTAGAGGGAGGATGATTCAAGTGTAGAATAATAATAATATTCAGAAAAGTACCAAATAATTATCTTCTAATTGAGGGTGAGAATTTTTTGTTGTACTGTGGCAGAATAAATTCAAAGAACATTTTCTTTTCCAAGAGACTAGAATCTGTGATGGTTCCAATAAAAACTTTTGGCTAATTATTTCATACAGTGAGTTCTAAAATATTATTGAAAAAATTATTTCTATTTATACATCTGGCAATAAATTGTAAATAACCTAAACCTAACCAGAGTGTCATGGTTTAGTAAATGATAGTTCATTCTTATCATAGATTGTTGTATAGGCATTAAAAACAATATTTTTGAAGAGTTTTTAGTATAATAGGAAAATGCTCACAAAATAGTATTGTTATAAAAGGGAAATATAAAATTATAAAAAATATAAATTTATAAAATATAAATTATATAGTATATTTTAAATTATTAAATAATTATTGAATGTTGATTGTATAGTATTATGGTAATTGTAATATATTAGTAATTAGTAAATTATTTTAAAAAATCATTATTCACATATATGTTTTATATATATCACAGGCACATACCCATACACACATATACAGATACGCAACACAAAGAACTATACCAAAATTTTAATAGAGATTGTCTCTGGGTGGTAGGATTATGGATCACTTTAATTTCTAAAATTTATTTTTAACAATAAGTATGTATTACATTTTTAATAAGAAAACTAATAAATATCATTTAAAATGACATGATGTACCTGCCATGATTTACATTTTAAATCCATGACCCTGCAGTGTAATTTGGATAAAGTCTTCTGTGTTTCAAAACATAATCTGAAATTTTATTATCTTCATTTTTTTTTAAGGGTGAAGTTGGCCGGCAAGGTTCTCCAGGACCAACCCTGTTGGTGGAGCCACCTGATTTTTGTCTCTATAAAGGAGAAAAGGTAATCCCCACATCCGTACCTTACCTGGGTAAAGTACTGTCAGTGAACATTTTCTGAACACATACTCTGTGCTAATAATGTGCTGAGCACCTTCCCTGCATCATCGCTATAATCCCACAAGAACCTTATCAGGTGGGCACTGTTATTACCCCACTGTACAGAGGAGGGAGATGAACCTCGGAAAGGTTAAGAACATTCTCAAGCTTATTCAGCTGCTAGGTGGGAGATCCTAGCTGAGAATGTTAAATTGTGACATGTCCTCCAAGACAGAAGACCCCATTCATGTTGTCCTTGATGTATGGGCTGAGAAGACCACTGGAAGCTCAATTATATACAGGTTTTTTGCTAACTGACATGGTAACAAATGCATAGAGCTGGGCTCATAAAAGACTCTTGGCAAATATTAATTCCTCTGTCAGCCTCCAGCACTGATGTTCCTGACGCCAATAGAAGGTTCTGTTTCCACTTTTTGGTTACTGGGCTAAATTTCTCTGCCTTTCTCAGAATGAGCCACTCTTCTCAATGGCTGCACTTTCAATTTGCATCTAGAGTCCTGGTTCCATAGTGGTCCCTTCCTGCGTCCCACAGTTACACCTCTCACACAGAGAGCTGGCCTGATAGTGTCAGCTTTATTAATCTGCTTGGGTTTCAATTGCTAACTAGTGACAATTGAAGAGTAATCTCTTATTTAAAAAAAAAGTTAATAAAACAGGTTATCAAAAGAAGAGATTTCTGAAAGAGATTGAATTCAGTATGCTAAATAATAAGAATAAGCCAGATGGTCTTTGTTGTGATCTGCAGGGTATAAAAGGAATGCCTGGAGTTACTGGGCCACCAGGACCTTTTGGATTCAAGGTAGCTTATTTAAGTACTCTCTCTCTTTAATTTGAATGATGTGCTATCTTAATTTTTAAAACAGTTACATGGTATTATCATTGCTTTAAATGATAATATATATTACTAGATTTTTCACTATTTTATCATCATCCTTTAGGGTGTCTATTCCAAAATAATCAAGTTTTCTTTAAGCTTTTGGAAAGAATTTTTGCTTTTTCTTTGAGTATTGCTGAAATGTTTTTCCTTGAATGTCTCTAAACACCATTATGTCTTAAAGGGAAAACCTGGCACTGGGCCAAAAGGAGAAAAAGGTATTATTGGATTCCCAGGACCTCGGGTAAGAGTCACTTATACCCCTGTTAACTTCAGCGAGTTGGGAGACATTTCTCATCCACATTCTTATAAGACTAGATCAATATTTTTTATTTTTTTAAATTCTTTTCTTTCTTCTTTGCCCACTCTTTTTTTTTTTTTAATTGTACTTCAGATGATGGTTTACAGAACAAATAGTTTCTCATATAACAGTACACATATTGTTTTATGAGAATGGTTAACAACCCCATGACATGTCAACACTGTCCCTTCTCAACCTTGGGTTCCCTGTTACCAGCTTTCGTGTCCCCTCCTGGCTTCTAGTCCTTGTCCCTGGACTGTTATGCCCCATTAGTCTCGTTTTGTTTTATGGGCCTGTCTAATCTTTGGCTGAATGGTGAACCTCAGGAGTGACTTCAATACTGAGCTAAAAGGGTGTCCGGGGGCCATACTCTCGGGGTTTCTTCAGTCTCTGTCAGGCCAGTAAGTCTGGTCTTTTTTTGTGAGTTAAAATTTTGTTCTACATTTTTCTCCAGCTCTGTCCTGGACAGAGCAGTCTAGATCAATATTTCTGCGTGCTCAAAAGTGAGAGATACCTCAAATAAGGACCATGTATTTTGGATAAGAATAGTATAATAGCTAAATTTCCCAGAGCATCCCTCCCATCGACACCATTTAAATAAAACGAGAAAGCAGAAGATGGAAGGATTGGGGGAAAGTAATGGGATTGTGACATTTCCGGTCTGGCTCAGTGTCGGTGTGATAATAGCTTGGAATTGCGCATTTCAGCCTAGTTGATAAGATAAGGTGATGATCTAGGGGCAGTAGCTAGAATAAAAGCACAGCGTCAGGCCCAAACGTCACCTCCCAGGTGGCTAGTAGACATCCTCATTCATGAATCATCATGGAGGCCAGACCCCAGCAGGCGTACACATTGAGTTTACTTGGCTGTGGATTTTGTGCCTAATGGGACAGTAGTGGCTTCCACGGTAATTTGTGAGGCTGATAATGCACAGAGCAACTCTTCATCTCCAGACGAATTATATTGCAATGATTTCAAAATTATTTGGCCCAGTGCAAGCGTTAGTTAACTAAATTAAAATAAAAGGTGCAACAACAACAACAAAATATGTTCTTGATTTGAAACACTGGCGGTGACATGGATTTTATGAATAAGACTGATCAAAGGTCAACTGAAATAGCAACTGTTATAAAGAAATGCAATCTATTTTATATTTGTTTGCTTTTATTCAGCTACCTTTGCAGACAAGATTAAATATCTATGAAGCAACCTCATGAGATGGAAAATGCTACATTGAACTGGTTCATGCGTTTTCATTTAATTCTGCTTGTGTTAATTTTTGTGAATTTATTAGGGTGACCCTGGTTCCCATGGAGTTCCAGGCTTTCCAGGATTAAAGGTAAATATATACCATTATACCATTACCAAACCAAACCTGCTGCTGTCAAGTTGATCCTGACTGATAGTGACCCTATAGGACAGAGTAGAACTGGCCCATAGGGTTTCCAAGGAGCAGCTGCTGGATTCAAACTGCTGACCTTTTGGTTAGCAGCCGAGCTCTTAACCACTGTGCCACCGGGGCTCCATACACCATTATAGAGGTGGGTGACAAATAAGTTTTCATTAGTAAACACAATTCAGTATCATTCAAAAATAGTATTTTTGTATGCAGGCACTCAGAAGCATGTAATTGGAAAGACAGACAGACACATTCTTTTTGTGAATTGCCTGATTTAGCTGTGGATACAAGAACTAAAACACAAGACTTTGTCTGGTACAACCTATAAGCAGAGTTAAAACTGCACAGCATCTCAGTGATCATGCATCATTCAAATTAAATATAAATGAGATAATTTGGCACTCTATCACTTTTTTTTTTCCTAACAAAAGGCATGTTTGTGGTTGTTTGTAGGGGGAACCAGGACTGGTTGGTGATCCTGGGCCGTTTGGATTTCTTGGCTCAAAGGTAAAAAAGTGAGCCTTTTCAAGTAGAGCCTTGATAAAACTTTGTATCCTTTATGTTATCTAATTTATTTTAAAAAAATAATTTAAAGAATTGTTCATAAATGTAACTGCACCATAGGGTTTCCAAGGCTGTAAATCTTTGTAGAAGCAGACTGCTGCATCTTTCTCCTGTGGATTGGCTGGTGGGTTCTAACTGCTAACTTTTCCGGTTAGCAGCTGAGTGCTTTAACCACTGCACCACTAGGGCTCCTTAACTTTTTGTAAAGGACAAGTTAATTTTGTTTAGATTACGCTAAGATATGTTGTAATGATTACATATTACATTTGAGAAATGATCTTTTAGGAGGTGAATAATAATGAAAGCTTCAAAAATTCCATAGGGATAAAACAGTATCAAGATTAAAAATGAAGGGGACTTGATCAAAGATTATGTAGAATTCTGATCAAAAGGGAGAGAGTATGGAACAGAATTCAAATTCTCAATGGAATCCAGACTTCCTGGAGCCTTTGAGCCTGGAAGAACCCCCCAAAACTATTGCCCTGAGGAAATCTTTAAAGCCTGAAACCAAAAATATCCCCTGCTGTCTTCTTTAAACCAAGCAATAGTTTGACTTACTTAGTAAAGAATGTCTGCCTGGAATGTTGTACTCTTTTAAAGAACTATCTGTATGGAATCAAACTGACAACAGTAATTCGAAAAGTTAGATAGGAAGTTTGGAGGGTAGTGACTATGTCAATGGGGGAGGAACAATTCAGAAAAGGAGGGTGAGAAGCGTTGCACAACTTGAAAAACGTAATCAATGTCACTGAATTGTACATGTAAAGATTGTTGAATTGGTATATGTTCTGCTGCATATATTTTCAACAACAACAACAAATAAATTATTAAAAAAAAAATGAAGGGAGCCCTTGAGATCTCCCTGCTTTTAACCACGACTGCGTTTCTTCCTTTTCTTTGTCACCTCTGTGACCTCGTATGTAGTACTCACTCAGAACAAGCCAGGGAGGCAGTAAGGGAATAAACGGGGAAGGGAGGACATTTGCTGCTAAAATAAAATCTAGAATCAGAACTTGCTAGTTGAATAAGCCAGCTCTTGGTCCTGAAGTGCCAAGATAGAGGTTAATGCCTGTAGATATTGAAGAAACTTAATGGCTTGAGAGGTATCTAATTTATGCAGATGGCCTAATTTGGCTGGAGTTTTTAGATTATTTTCTTTTGTGTGAGTTTTGCCAGTTGGTCATTGACTTCTGCTCGTAGGTGGCAGGTTGGATGCATCGTTCTTCCTCCTAGAATTCTGAGTCATTCATTTCTCTAGCCAGCCTACAATCTCTATGTCTTATTATAAATGCACTCGTGGTCCTTCTAATATTTATTTAATGCCAGGCGACTTGAGAAAAATATGAATCTTTCTAAGAAGAGTGAATGAATGCATGATTTCAGGGGGATCCTGGAGACCGTGGACACCGAGGACCACCAGGTGTTTTGTTAACTCCACCTGTTCCACTCAAAGGTTTGTGTTCTCTTCAATTCCTCTGTAAATTACTCCGAAATGGGATTTGAGTGGCCCCAACATGACCCTGTTCCAGTACACTAGGTATTTAGCACACACACACAAAAAAAACAAGCCTGTTGCCGTCAAGTAGATTCCAACTCCTAGCGACCCTATACGACAGGGTAGAACTGCCTCATACAGTTTCCAAGGAGTGCCTGGTGGATTTGAACGGCCAGCCTTTTGGTTAGCAGCTGTAGCTCTTAACCAGTACGCTACCAGGGTTTCCCCTTAGCACACTAGGTAGGCTAAATACCTGCATTTGGCCATCAGTATGTAATGATACACGTTCAGGAAGTGATGTGCCCTTAGTTCGTTTCTATTGGCATAAGATATCAACTTTTATTTTAGTGTGTAAGCTGTATACCAAGGTTTTAAGTATGTCACTTTTCAGAAACTAGTTTTTTTTAATCACTAAAAAAAGTATAAAGCCATTTGACTAATATGTACCGCAAGATGCTGCCATGAAGGAAAAAAGAAAGTTAAACCCGTTGCCATCAAGTCACTTCCTACTAATGGCGACCTCATGTGTGCCGGAGTATAACTGTGCCCCATAGGGTTTTTAATGGCTGATATTTTATGAGTAGTTCGCCAGGCCTTTCTTCTGAGATGCTTCTGTGTGGCCTCAAACCTCCAGTCTTTCAGCTAGCAGCTGAGCGCATTAACCACTTGCACCACCCTGGCCTAAATCAATGACAGAGCTCCACTCAAAGTTCATGTGTCTGCAGAAGAGGGGCAGCGGAGAGGTCCAGACCTCAGATACTCTACTTTAAATGTGGTAAAAAAAATACTGCAAAACAGTCAGATTATCCTTTACTAAGCCTCACAAAAAGGAAGTGTGCTTAAATTTTAATACGTATATAAACATTAATCTATTCATATGTACAATTCTCTTTGGCAGGCCCTCCAGGGGATCCGGGGTTCCCTGGCCACTATGGAGAAGTGGGGGCAGTTGGACCGCCTGGTCCCCCGGGTCCCTCAGGTAGACCAGGGGAAGCCCGGGCAGGTAAGAATTCAAGGGTCTTTTCCTGCCAGTTTTCCTACATCATCATCCACACCATGGTTTTCAACTCGAGCACATATTGAAATCACCTTGTTGTTGTAAGGTGCTGTCAGGTCAGTTCTGACTCACAGGGACCTTGTGTACAACAGAACAAAACACTATCCAGTCTTGCGCCATCCTCAGGATCGTTGCTATGTTTGAGCCCATTGTTGCAGCCACTGTGTCAATCCATCTCTTTGAAGGTCTTCCTCTTTTTTGCTGACCTTCTACTTTACCAAGCATGATGTCCTTCTCCAGGAACTGGTCCCTGCTGATAACATGCCCAAAGCACGTGAGACGAAGTCTCGCCATCTTCACTTCTAAGGAGCATTCTGGCTGTTCTCCTTCCAACACAGATCATCTTAGCCTGTTGCCGTTGACTGGGTTCTGACTCAGAGCGACCCTATAGAACAGAGTAGAACTGCCCCAGAGCGTTTCCAAGGAGCAACTGGTGGATTCAAACTGCTGACCTTTTTGTTAGCAGCCAGGTCTTAACCATTTTGCCACCAGGGCGCCACAGGTCACCTTAAGAACTTCTAAAAATACTGATGCCTGTGCCCCATCCCAGATCAGGCACACCAGACTCTTTGGGAGATGGGTTCAGTCAACTGTATTGTAAAACTGCCCTAGTATTTCTAAAGTATGGGGGCACTGGTGGTTCAGTGGTGGAATTCTCACCTTCCATGCAGGAGATCCAGTTGGAGTCTCGGCCAGTGTACCTTATGCGCAGCCACCACCTGTCTGTCAGTGGAGGCTTACGTGTTGCTATTATGCGTAGCTCTGCTATCAACAGGTTTCAGCAGAACTTCCAGACTAAGACAGACTAGGAAGAAAGGCCTGGTGATCTACTTCTGAAAATCAGTCAGTGAAACCCTATGGAACGTTCGAACCACAACCCATCGTGGGGATGGCGCAGGATCAGGTAGCATTTTGTTCTTCTGTACACGGGATCTGCGTGAGTCGGACCAACTCAAAGGCAGCTAACAACATCTCTAATGTACAGCCAGAGTTAAGAACCACTGAACTCAAACCAGTCAATTACTTATTTGGAAGAAATAGTTTCCCAGGATGCACCTCAAAAATATTCAGTCACCATCTCAGGGATTTATTTGGACCAATAAGCAACATCATGATAAACAGATAATATTGAAGTTGTTAAGGATTTCATTTTAATTGGATCCATAATCAATTCCCATGGAAGCAGCAGTCAAAAAATCAAACGATGTATTGCATCGGGCAAATCTGCTGCAAAGGACCTTTAAACATTTTTTAACACTTCAAAGAGTTGAAAAGTAAAGATGTCACTTTGGGACTAAGGTGCACCTAACCCAAGCCATGGTGTTTTCAGTCATCTCATATGCATTCAGAAGCTGGACAATGAGTAAGAAAGACCAAAGAAGAATTGATGCCTTTGAATTATGGTGTTGGTGAAGAACACCGAGTATACCATAAACTGCCAGAAGAATGAACACATTTGTCTTGGAGGAACTACAGTCAGAATGCTCCTTAGAAGCAAGGATGACGAACATTCGTCTCACGTACTTAGGACATGTTATCAGGAGGGACCAGTCCCTAGAGAAGAACATCATGCCTGGTAAAGTAGAGGGTCAATGAAAAAGAGGAAGACCCTCAACAAGATGGATTGACGCAGTGTTTGCAACAGTAGACTCAGACATAGCAATGATTGTGAGGATGGCGCAGGACCAGATAATGCTTCATTCTGTTGTACAAAGGGTCACTATGAGTCAGAACCGACTTAACACCACCTATCAGCAACATCTCAGGGGTATTTTGAAGAATATGCATGTGTAACAGGCTTCCCACAAGTTATCACATGCAGATAAATTTGGGAACTGCTGCTAGAGTTAGTGTTTTATTCACCTTTTCCAGCCTCCTGGAAGGCTCTCCCTCCTGTTAAATTCAATTCATCTGTCTAGGCCCCAATTTAAACCTCCTACATGAAACACAGAAATAAAAATGTATAAATTAAAAAATAAAACTTTGATTCAAACTTGGTTAAAAAAACAAACAAACAAAACACAGCCCTACCCCCTCAAAAATAAATAAAGCAACTGTAGGTCACCGTGATATTTGATGAAGAGCCTGGGAAAGAGTCCTGTTGACCTAAGTACTTTGAAGTCTTTCAAGTGCTGTGGTGGTTGATATTCTTAGTGAGATTAGGAAGAGAAGGTTAGAGGAGATTTGCGTTCTGTGAGCCCAGGAGAACAGATTAAACCTCTGAGGAGAAAAGTCTTGAATAAATGTAATTTTATCCAGCCTGTATCTCTTATGTTTATGGACAAAGAATAAGAAGTTTCTGGAGATATTCAACTGTTAATATGAATTCTTGATTGATCTTCCAGGAATGTCACTGGCAGATTGTGAGCTCTGATAACCACGGAGGTAGTCAAGTGATGTACAGTTGATTAATATGTAGATAGCAAGGTTTTGGTTAATTGACGCAGGGCTGTATCAGTCTTATAGAATATTCTGTTAGAATATTTTGAAGCACTAGACTCTGGTCTTAGATTACTTCTTTCAGGCTTGTTTATGATAAAATAGTGCCTCCAGCAGATTGAAGTCAAAACACAATTGGAATAAGAAACAAGTGTCTCTAGGAGATTCCAACTTAAATGTAACAGTTGTTGTGTGCCGATTCTGACTCATAGCAACCCTACAGGACAGAGTAGAACTGCCCTGCAGGGTTTCCTAGCCTGTAATCTTTACAGAAGCAGATCTCCAGGTAATTTCCCCCATGGAGTGGCTGATGGGTTTGAACAGCTGACCTTCCAGTTAGCAGCCAAGTGCTTAACCATTGCACCACCAGAACTCCTTAAAAATAACAAACAAACAAAAAAGCCCAAGCCCATTGCTGTCGAGTTGATTCTGACTCATAGCAACCCTATAAGATGGAGTAGAACTGCCCCATAGGGTTTCCAAGGAGCAGCTGGTGGATTTGAACTGTTGACCTTCTGATTAGCAAGCAAGCTGTTAACCACTATGACACCAAGGCTCCTGGTAATGTATATAGCTCTTAAAAACCCATTCCCTTAGAGTCGATTCCGACTCATAGCAACCCCCTAGGGTTTCCAAGGCTGTCAGTCTTTACGGAAGGAGACTGCCACATCTTCCTCCCTTGGAGTGACTGGTAGGTTCAAACCTCTGGCCTTTTGGTTAGCAGCAGAACACTTTAACCACTGTGTCACCAGGTCTCCTTTATAGCCTTTACATATTTTGATTTTATAATTATGTATAATATTTACCGTGGAGTAAGCAGGGTTTTGGAGTCAAGACACTTGGAATTGAACCCCAGCCTTGCATAGTAGAGTGTATATAGCCCAATAGTTCTGAGGCTACCCTGGAAAGAGTGGTATTTTACCTTCTACAGAGACAATGATGTGTCTATATTTTGGGTCTTTAAATGTGCTAACATGTTTATTCAGATTATTTTTACTAAGTTATCAAGGTGGAAAATGCCAAAAAATTTAATTGCAATTAAATAATATGTGTTTCTTTGCCAGTAACCCCATAAAACGGGGAAAAACTAAGAAAATCTGATTCCCCGGACGTGTGTGTGACCACTTGTGTGCTTGTTTACAAGGAGGCAAGGCATTTTGATGGCTGTGATATTCATTATTTTTTAGCTCTTTTTCTTTAAAAAGTTCAGTGGCGTAAGGAAGCTCTTGGATTTTGCTTTCTTCTGCAGAAAAGCTCACTCTGATAGTATATGTGATTTTCATTATTGATTTCTCTTGGAGGCATGATGGGACCTCCAGGGCCCCGAGGGTTTCCTGGTCGTCCGGGGCTTCCAGGGACAGCTGGTATTCCTGGGAGAGCTGCTCCAGGAAAACCAGGAAACCCAGGACCACCTGGCCTGCCCGGAGCGCCAGGACTGCAGGGACCCCCAGGATCAGATGGTAAAGTGATCCTCATTCATCTTCGTTAGCATTTATGTTACGTTTGATGCTGCAGGGTCATTCAAAAAATATGACTTTTTAGGTAATTTCGAGGGTATATAATATTTCATGAGCTGAGTTAGTACTAAGTCTTTTTTTAGAAATAAGTAAACTGAGGTTGGACTCTTAATGTCAATTAAAGTATGTGAAATTACTCTGTTGGGAATTTTAAGTGTGAATGATAGAATTCACCTTCTCTAGAAGGAAGTCAAAGGATAACGTTTAAATGGAAAAATTAGGAAATAACAATACAGACATGTTGAATGGCAAAATAGAGGCAAATAATCCAAGAGCCAGCTACACGTGTAGAAATAATTGCTTTCCCAATGGCCAGCTTGGGATTCAGCTTTCCAAGATCTGCTATGTCCTTCTAAAATTTTGTTGTTATTGTTTCTTTTCCCTTTTTCTTGGTCCTGTGGTCTTATGTCCTTTCACTGTCCTTTTTTTTTTTTTTTTCATGAGATTTTTGGGAGAGAACAGAATTTATTGTTGGTGGTTTGTCTGCCATCTCAGATGTCTCTGAAATTTTGCTTTGAAATGTCCTGCTTTATGCTCTTTTCATTAGGTAGTGATTGCCAATAAAGGGGATGGAAAGCTGTTTGCTGACTCTTAGCTTTTTTTTAATTTGTTCATTTATTTGTTTGTTTTGTGTTTCATTACTTTGTTCTGCAGGCTACTAAATTAGACTGGGATTAAGGATGGCTTTATAAATGGTTGTGATACCAGATATGTGGTATGACAGCATATGGTCTATCTCTGTACATGATCAGATGTCAGAGGGAAAGAATCATAGGAAGGGAATGGAAGAAAGTATAAGGAAAAGAAGGGAAACTTAGGAAAGAGGATGTGAGTGCAAGAGACACTAAAACTTGTCCTATAGAAGACATTCCTAAAAAAATATGTGATTCTTTTCTGTCCACCCCTTACCCACCGTAAAGTTATATATTGTAGTGTTGGGAACCCTGGACCACAAGGAATAAAAGGCAAAATGGGTCCTCCAGGAAGAAGAGGCTCCAAAGGAGAAAAAGGCAAGTATGCATCAAGGGTAGTATTTTCTAGAAGGCAATAATGTATGAAGGATTGAGGGCATACACAAAATGGACAATGTGGCATTTCCTTCAGTTTTGTTACTCACCTTATTTGCCCTCATGAGTACTCAGCCTCATTATGTGCTTATGATGTGATTAAATCTCACCAGAAAACTCAGATCCTCTTATGAGTATCTTAGCACATAAAGGAGACACTCACTTGCCATGGAATTTGCCTGAAGATAGTGACTTTCCTCATGGGTCCTCTTGATTCCTTGAGAGCAGCAGAGACAGGATAGTACTGCTATTATATCTCAGTCTCTCTCTGCAGGGTCCTCAGTTTCCAGGCTCTTCATATGCCTGTAATCCTATCTATCTCCACTCTACATTGTTTTGCATCTTTTTTTAAAAAACAGACTTTATCTTTTAGAGCAGTTTTAGGTTTGCAAAAATTGTGCAGAAAATACAGAGTTTCCATATATCCCCTCTCCCTCCTGTACACTGTTTCTTCTGTGATTAACATCTTGATAAACCAATATAGATACATTATTATTAATGAAAATCCATAGTTTACATTAGGGTTCACATCTGACTTCTTTTTAATCCACCTGGTCAGGTGGGGGGTGGTCTTGTTGTATGCTATGGAGTTCATTCTAACTCCAGCGACTGTATAGGACAGAATAGAACCCCCGTAGGCTTTCCAAGGCTGTAATCTTTATGACGAAACCCTGGTGGCATAGTGGTTAAGGGCTACAGCTGCTAACCAAATGGTCGGCAGTTCGAGTCCACCAGGTGCTCCTTGGAAACTCTATGGGGCAGTTCTACTCTGTCCTGTAGGGTTGCTAGGAGTCGGAATCAACTCAACGGCAGTGGGTTAGTTAGTTAATCTTTATGAAAGCAGACTAGATCTTTCTCCTCTGGAGCTGCTGGTGGGTTTGAGTTGCCAGCCTTTCAGTTAGCAGCCAAGACCATAACCACTGCACCCCCAGGGTGAAAAAAAACAAACCCGTTGCCGTCGAGTTGATTCCGACGCGTAGCAACCCTACAGGACAGAGTAGAACTGCCCCATATGGTTTCCAAGGAGCACCTAGTGGATTTGAACTTCTGACGTTTTGGTTAGCAGCCATAGCTCTTAACCACTACACTGCCAGTGTTTCCCACCACCAGGATAAAACCAAAAAAAAAACCAAACTCATTGCCATCGGGTCGATTCCGACTCATAGTGACCCTATAGACAGAGTAGAACGGCCCCATCTGGTTTCCAAGGAGCGCCTGGTGTGGTAGGAGAGTATAAATACAGCTGAGGAGTTTGGCTCTCCAGAAAGACTGTTTTTTGGTTTGTTGATTTTGGATCAAATGTCCTAATGATGAGAGAATGCCTTGTGGTGAATCATCACGTGTACTGTAACATGCAATGCCATAAATCATCCCTGCTCACATGCAATTTTCTTTGTTCAGAGTTTCTGTTCTAATCTAATTTATTTACAGTCTCATTTATTTTTTTTGGTTTCTTCAATAGAAGACAAATGAGAAGCTTTCAAACTTTTAAAAGTAAGAGACTTTATTTTTAAAGTTTCTTCAGAAGAATTGGACATAAATTTTCACCCTAGACTTTATCAGAATGAGGTCATTAAGAAACAAGACACTCTGTTTGTCTAGAAACTCTCAACCTATCCCTGGTTGACTATGCCATGCCCCCATGCTGTCCTTCCAGCCCCCACATCACACGTTATCAATTGCTTGTAATAAAAATTGTTCACATCGGACTCTCCCCACCCCTTAGGTATTGGTTGTATATGGTAAAGCCCATATTGTGGATTTTATTCAGAAAACATGACAATGTTGCATTTTATTCTCTGTCTAGGAAACGAAGGGCTCTGTGCCTGCGAGCCTGGTCCCATGGGGCCTCCTGGTCTCCCAGGACTTCCTGGGCAGCAGGGTAGTAAGGGAGACTTGGGGCTTCCGGGGTGGCTTGGAGAAAGAGGGGACCCAGGTCCTCCTGGTGCCGAAGGATCTCCGGGGCCACCAGTGAGTAACTCTTACCAGTACAATATTTCTAGTTAAAAGTGGTAGAAGGTGACAGCATTCAAATATGCCTCTTTTTAATTTATGAATAGTATATGTTATATTTTGAATCTCTGCATATATATTAATGACAAAAAATCACCTATATTCATTCATCCATCCATCTGTGTTTCATTCAATTAATATTTATTGAGCACTTACAATGTTCCAGACACTGTTACTGGTGCTGGCGATATGACAGGGACCATAACATAGTCTCTGCTTTTGTGGAGCTTCCATTCTATTGGGAGGACACAGACCATATGACAGATAGACAAGTGAATGTATAGTATGTCAGATGGTGGTTTTATTTTTGTGGGTATTTGTTTTTGCATTATTATGAGATTTAAAGCTTCCCTGAAAGAGCCCTGGTGGCACAATGTTTAAGTGCTCGGCTACTAACCGAAAGGTCTGTGGTTCAAACCCAACGGCGGCTCTGTGGCGGCTCTGCCCCCGTAAAGGTTACAGCCTAGAAAACCCTATGGGACAGTTCTATTCTGTTCTACAGGGTCGCCATGAGTCAGAATCGACTCGATGGCACCCAACAACAGCAAGGCTTCCCTTGAAAAATCAGGAGCTCACTAACATGAGACCTTCTGTCTTCCCACGGCCACTGGAAGCTGAGAGGTGGCTGTCCTTGTCAGTGGAGGCCTGGGCACTCCAGTCTCCATCATCCTCACCTGCCTTCTTCCTTCAAAAGGACCTGGCCCCCGTGGGCACCTGCCATTGAAGTCCATGATCTAGACTGTGTATAAAGAAACCAGTACATGCCTGGCAAAAAGAGCCTTGTGTTGATGCTGGCCTTTGTCCTACTAACATCTCCGTTTAGTGACCTCAAGGTCTTGGAATTTTGAAAAGTAGCCCTCAATCCCAAAGCTGCTGGGAACTTCTGCCCCAAGAATCACATAGGTTAAACATTGATGTGACTACGGTCTAAGCACCGTGATGACAAGATTGCCTTGTAAACCACTGGATCCCCAGTCCTTGGAATAGTCCTGGCACTTCGTAGGTTCTCAGGAAACGTTTGTTCAACAAAATCCAGACACAGCTTCAGTAACTTTATTTTCTTCCCAGCTCAAATAAGTCTGTGATCAGACTCTGGAACTCAAAGTTCTACATCTACAATGCAGGAGAACAATTCATCATACATCTTAAATACACTGCTCAGAATTCCAGGTTGTATTCATTCTTCCAGAGTACCAAGGTCTTAGTTATTAAGCCTGCCTCTGGTTCAAATGCTATGTGAATAGTGTTCTCCCTTGATAATTGATCCATCAGAAGGCTGCTTTCATCATTCACCACTTGGACTGGATACTGTACCCCACACATGTTGGTCCTGTCCTATAGCCACTGATGACTTAGTACATACATTAACAATAAGAATAAAAACAGCACTTAACACATAGTAACACTTCGTGATTTCTAACATTCCCTTTCTGTTGAATTTATCCGTTTCAACTAAGAAATTTCTTCCACCCACCTTTTTGATGGCTGATAGGCAGGATGCTATACTAGAATGATGCTCTCAGGGATATTGAGCAGTGGGTATGGAGCTTTTTTTTTTTTTTTTTTTAAATCTATAGTAGATGGCTTCCAGCCATTTTGTCAGCTTGAGTTTTTATGCCTGTTGTGTACATTTTTAGCTGCTTCTTTGCTTTTACCGCTTCATGCCAACAATTGCGCTTACCTCCCCTTCCTTTTATAGTTTACTGCGTATAGATTAGTATAGGCCAGTTCAAACGAAAATTAAGCTTGTTTCAACTCATTGTTAGATTGTATGAAAATAAGACCAGGTAAGATCTGTCTGAGACAGCAAATGGTTTGCTCAGTCATTTTTTACCTCTGCCAGATTCTAGGCTATTTCCTGATGATTGACGTCACTAAATAGGTGACTGCAAGTCATGTGCAGTGTTTCTATAACTATATTAGATATAGTGTTTGGTCACTCTAATATACTGACAGTAGGTTTCCAGATTTTTGGCATCACCTGATACTCAATCATATGTAGCACTTACAAAAACCATAACCCAAATAGTCCAGTATCAGCAATGCTGAGGTCAAAAGATGATGGGCCCATCAGGCTACATTAGTTGTTTACTTGTTTTACAGAGGGAATGTATTGACAACAGCAAAGGTCCCTATTTTTCTTTCTCTCACTCATCAATTTCTCTTAGTGTCACAGTTATTTCCATGCCTCTCTCATTACAAAGTCATTCCTAAGCCTCTGCCTTAAGCTCTAGTGGCAACTCCTGTTGTTAACAGTCCTCCATCCTTTTCCTCTCAATTCTACATTAAAAAGCCCAAGATAATTTAATTTTAAAAAAAGCTGTTTATTTTGAGATAGTTTAAGACTCACGAAAAGTTGCACAAATCATACAGAGAGTTCTCATGTACCCTTCACCCAGCTTCCCCCAATGATAATACCTCACATAACCATAGTACATTGCCAAAACCAGGAAATTGACCTTGCTACATTTCTATTAACTCAGGTACAGACCTTATTCAAATTTCACCAGTTTTTACGTGCTGTCCAAGAGCCTCAACTTGTAAGGTAGGATCTTACACCAAGATAGGATCTTGGAAGGCAGGGAACAGAAGGAGACCGAGAGTGCCAAACCAGACTTTTTAGCAAGTGATGTAACAGGGAGGAAAAGAGAAATCATATATACAGACGTGAATAACTTTTGATCCATTACAAGTAAACTAATTTGTTCTTCTCATTTTTCACCAAGGGAAAACCTGGTGCCTCAGGACCACGTGGCAACAAAGGAGAAAAGGGTGACATGGTTGTATCGAGAGTTAAAGGTGAGCATAATCAATCATTTAGCTCCCTGCCACTTTATGAATGATGCAGGAACCATCCTGAATTATTTATGAGCAATCCTCTTGTATTAGTTTCCCCTGTGACCACAGATCAATTCAGTGACAAGACCTGGGATTGTTGAGGTTGCTTTAAAAAATACTCCCTGCCCTTCTTAGGGTCCTATGACTGGTGAGCCCCAAATTCTGTCTCATATTTGAAAACATAAATGCTCCCTTAGTCACGTGCTCAAATTCTCATTGTGGTGAAACAGGGCCTCCTTTGACATGCTAGTGTTTATTTGCTGCATTATAGTATCCAGTACTAGCCAGGAATATGTGGTTGTAAGTGAGAGAAATCCAGCTTGAAGTAGTTTAAGAAAAAAATATATGTAACTTATTGAACTCAGCTGCTAACGAAAAGGTCAGCATTTTGAATCCACCAGCTGCTCCTTGGAAACCCTGTGGGGCAGTTCTACTCTGTCCTGTAGGGTTGCTATGAGTTGGAATTGACTCATTGGTATTAGATTTGGGGTTTTTTTTGTTTATTGGCTCACCTAAACAAAGTTTAAAAGATTAAACACAAGGTCAACACTGGGGACAGCTGGATCCAGAGTCTCAAATGGCATCAGCAGGCTCTCTCTGCATCTTTCATTGCATAATCTGCATTCTTTCCCAGGGACTGGTTTTCTCTTGGCTGTGGGGTGCATGGCCCCGGGCAGCTCCAAATTCTTACAAGCAGAGATGAAAGAAAACCTACATTGTCAGCTTCAGTTAGGAAAAAAGAAAAAAAGTCAGAAGGAATTAGATTAGCTCAGACCATGTGCCCAACTGTGGACCATCCTCCATTCACTATAGCCAGGGGATAGAGTACCATGTTTGCATAGGATGTGCAGGGCTAGACGCTCAGATTGGCACCTCCACACACAACCTCCTATTGAAATGGGAAAAGGAAGTAATTGAGTGGGTTTGGTGATTGTCATCCTTCCCTCAGACCTTTGCGTGGTTGTCTTCGTGTGAGTTTGGGCAACTCAAGCACTCAGAGGAAACGCTAACCACCTACGCAGAGTCAAAGTCATTATCTTTTTCTTTAGTCCTTTCTCTACCTCACCCCTTGTTGATGAAGGCTGGGATGTCTTTTGGCCTCTGTTTCCAGGGCACAAAGGAGAAAGAGGTCCTGATGGGCCCCCAGGATTCCCAGGGCAACAGGGACAAGATGGTTGGGATGGACTTGCTGGAGGAAGAGGAGACCCAGGACCCCCAGTATGTATAATTCTTTCACTGCTGTAGAATTTCCCTTTCTTATATGGTCACACAAACAGTTCTTAATTTACCAAGGAGTAACTCAGTAGAGGGTCAACATGCTGTAAGTCAGAGCATGTTGACCCTGTATTGAGTTCACTGGTATGTAAAGATAATGCTAATACAAGGTATGGCACAATTGGAAATAGCCTAATATCCCGAGTGGTGGTTCAGTCACAGCAAGACTTTCTGTCCCCAGTCTTTTATCAGTCTCGTGGTGTGTATTTCCTTCTGGGGCCCTTGTTTCTTCAGAGCCCCCACTGATGTCGGATCATATCTCGTTGGCTTTGTGAAGTGGAGTATAGGGCACAGGTCCTGATAATTAGCTTCAGTTCTGTTCCCTAGTGAAGAGACCCAAAACCCAAAAAACCCATTGCGGTCGAGTCGATTCTGACTCCTAGCAACCCTATAGGACAGAGTAGAACTGCCCCATAGGGTTTCTAAGGAGCACGTGGTGGATTTGAACTGCTGACCTTTTGGTTAGCAGCCACAGCTCTTAACCACTAAGCCACCAGGGTGAAGAGACATACGAGGGGAAGTAGCAAGAAACTAGTGCAAATCCACTGAATTGATGGGTTTACTAATGGAAAATGCCACTGATAAATGATTTTTCTACATTTTTCAATCATGATTTGGGGGGAAACTATACGTAGGTAAGGAAGAGAATAAGAAAAGAATATGAGACATGATCCCATGTTCAGGAAATTAAAGTGTCTTGAGTATGCGAGGCACTTTTGAACGTTTACAATGTCGCGGAAACTGGGCTAGATGTTTTTATGTATAAAGAGCGTGTGAGGCACCTCTGGGTGGATCAAACCTCCAACCTCGCAATTAGTTACCGAGGAAGTTAACCATCTGCACCACTGTTTTTATGTAGAGCAGTAGCCTTACCCCGTTGCCATCGAGTCAGTTCCGACTCATAGCGACCCTATAGGACAGAGTAGAACTGGCCCATCCAGACACACACAAAAGACCATCGTAGACCACATTTGAGGCCAGGCCACTCAGAAGAATAGAGGACAGGACCCTCATCTCCAGTAGGCCAGTGTCCTTGCAGCCCTTTATTTGCTCAGCACACAGCTCAGGGTGCCCTTCATTCCTTCAACACCCAGCTCCGGCCAGGGAGCTGAGATCCACAGCTGGTGATGCAGGGGCAGCCCTGCTTTGAAAGCCTCATTGTTCCCTGGAGCTGCTGTCTCCACATAGAGTGCTTGAGGGGCTCCCACAAGGGACTTGCCAGCTACAGGAGCCACCACTCAAGGAAGCCCCAAACTAGGGCCCCCCAGCAGGCCTTTATAATTCTTCCAGACCAGCTGCTGGGTAGTGCAAATGGTTAAGTGCCCAGCTACTAAGTGGTTGATGGTTCGAACACACCCAGAGGTGCCTTGGAAGAAAGACCTGGTGATCTACTTCTGATAGGTCACAGCCATGAAACCTTCTGGGGCACAGTTCTAACTCTGACATACGTGGGGTCACTGTGAGTTGGAATCAACTCAAGAGCAACTCATTTTTGTTTTGTTCTGTTTCATTGTTTTGAGACCAGATGCAAACTTAGCAACCAGGGATCAGTTGGACCCTGGTTTGGTTTGGCAAGCTGATGTTCCAAGTTTACTTAGGTTTCTGGAGGAACAGAGCTAGATCGTTAACCCAAGGTCAAATTCCCATGCAGGAGAGGTGAGGATTTGTTAACTCTTTACCCCCAGACTTGGAGTTGTGATGGAATCTCTGTGCCTTCTCAGAAGAAGGCAGGAAAACAATTTCAAATATAGAAGAACTTATCAATTATAAGTCCATCACCTCCCGTGATATCCTTATTTCTAAATTTTATAATCTTTGATATTAGTGGCTCTGTATAAAATTTTGTATTCTACATTTGAGGTGTATTCAAAAAAGTGGGAGAAAAATATATATAGGTAAAATACTGAGAAACTTCTAAGTTAATCATTCTAAATTACATTTGCTAGTGATGAACTAGAGTTCTGGGTAGTACAGATGGTTAACATGCTCAGCTGCTAACTGAAAGGTTGGAGGTTTGAGCTCATCCAGAGGTGCCTTGGAAGAAAGTCCTGGCAATCTACTTCTGAAAAATCAGCCATTGAAAACCTTATGGAGCACAGTTCTCCTCTGACACACGTGGGGCCGCCGTGAGTTGGAATTGACTCTTGGGCAACTGGATTTACTGCTGAACTGTCTGTTGGAAATGAGGACTTTCTTTGCATGTGTTTTTATAGCCTGCAATGACAGCTTTGAGTTTATGGACTTTCAAAGGTTGGTAATTGACTCATGACCTCAACATTCCTAGGGGGATCATGAAGATGCAACCCCAGGTGGAAAAGGGTTTCCTGGACCGCCAGGGCCCCCAGGCAGAGCAGGATCTGTGGGACCTCCAGGTCTGGGATTTCCTGGTCCACCAGGAGAGAGAGGGAGACCAGGAGCTCCAGGCTACCCCGGCGTGAGAGGCCCTGATGGCTTGAAGGGCCCGAGAGGTAATATGAATGGTTTTGTGGCAGAAACTTCAGTGAAATCGTGAATGCTAAAGTGAGCCTCTCTTCCAGGCAAAGTTATTATAGCTACAGCAAAACAGCTAAATAAAATTCCATCAAGGCGCTGTTCCAACCTCCAGTGTAGTCAAATAAATAAAAGCATTACGACACAGTTGATATTTACAGCAAATGCTGTAAATACTAAAATGTTAATCTGTCTGTGTTGCTTTTTGTTTAGCATACCAAAATTGATTTCATTCATTTCGTAGTATCAATTTACACAATTTGATCTTCTTAAAGTTATATATGTATGTATACACACACACATAAAACTTTGAAATACCTATTTTTTTTACAGTCCTTTAAGATAATGCATTGTTTTTTAATAAAAAAGAACACCAGTCTCTCATTTAAATTTACATCATTAGCCACAAAAAAATATGTGTAAGCATTTTTGGGAGAAGAGATTTTGAATATATCTGACAGTTCTGTGCAATTCAAACAATAAAGTGACTTGCAGGAACAGAGCTGAAAACTTTTTTTTTTATTATTTTGTTGTGTTTTCGGTGAAAGTTTACACAGCAAATTCAGTTCCCATTTAACAATTTCCATACAACTTGTTCAATGACATTGGTTACATTTTTTACAATGTGTCAACTTTCTCATTATTTCCATTTTGGTAGTTCCATTTCCATTAATCTAATTTCCCTGACCCCTGTACCTTCTCATCTTTTCTTTGGGGTAAAGGTGGACCATTTGATCTCATATAGATGCTTTTCTTAAAGGAGCACAGTACTCACAGGAGATACTGTTTATTAGCCCATCTGTCATTCAGCTGAAAGGTGACCTCTGGGAGTAGTTTCAGTTCAAAGTTTAAAGGGTATCTCAGGGCAATTGTCTCAGGAGTTCCTCTAGTCTCTATTGGTCCAGTAAGTCTGGCCTTTTTAAGAATTTGAGTATTATTCTATATTTTTCTCCCATTCTATCAGGATCTATCTATTGTGTCCCTAATCAAAATGGTTAGTAGTGGTAGCTGGGCACCATCTATTTCTTCTGGTCTCAGGGTAGATGAGGCCATGGTTCTTGAAGGCTATTAGTCCTGCAGAAAAGTTTTCTTTGAGTTTATGATTTCCTTCTTTTTCTTTTGTTCCAGATGAGTAGAGACCAATAGTTGTATCTTAGATGGCTGCTTACAAGCTTGTAAGACCCCAGATGCTACTCACCAAACTAGGGTGTAGAACAGCAACTTTATGAACTATATTCTACCAACTGACTGAGTTGTCCCATGAGACGATGGTCCTAAGCTTGTAAACCCAGAAAACCAATCTTATGAGGAGTTTGGTTATGTTTAAGACGTATCCATAGTTGTGCCCCCTATGAGCTTTATTATATATATGAATATATATGCAGTACACACAAACCTATATATACATATGCCTACAGATACACCTATATATTTACACATATATACACACATATACCTATTTATATATATGTAGGCATACATACCTTCTATTGTAGCCACATACATATTTTTTAATTGTTGTTGTGAAAACTTTTAAGAAAATGGGAAAAGGAATTTATTTAAGATTTTCTTTTCTTGATTGTATCTATATTCCTTGGTCTACATTCTTAATTGTGGAATTTTAGAATAAAATAAAGATGACTCTTGCTTTGACAACATAAAAAGGCAAGTAGCCTGGTATTTGATAAGGTTTAAGATGATAGTCTGGGACCCATCAAAATCTCAAATTATTTTTATTTATCTCACATGCTTTCTGATAATATCTTATAAGAATTTATTTCTACTATAAAAGAGAAACATTAAATTTTAGAAGGGAGTTTGCTGTCTTATTTTCTTCACCACTTAAAAAGGGGCATAATAACAACCACACTGTAGGTTTGTTAGAAGAACAAGAGACAATATATTTGAAGCACCTATTCCAAGGCAGGCTCTCAATAAATGGTAGCTTTTATTAATATCTTTCCCAGCCTCCTCATTTGTACCATATCCCGAGTCCCAACTAGGTCCCAGATCTTCTGAACCTAGTGCTGGGTGCTTGTAGCTATTTCTTCATTTATTGAAGTTTCTGCCTCCATTCTATTAGCTATCCATGAGCCTATAAATACATCACTTTTTCTCCTGTCTGAAAACTGATGCTTCTTGGAACCAGTATTGTTCTTATTTCTGTTATATTTATAGCTGTTCTGACAGATGAAATTCAAATTTTAGGACAGCTCTTCTAGAAATTCCGTATAAAAACAGTTTATGTAATCTAATGATACTTGGATTTTTCTTTTCGTTTGATTTCCACGTATACCATATGAAAAAGATCTTGAGCAAGGTTATTCTCATTGACACATCGTGTTGGTCTATCAACAGTGTGAATGTCACTTTTTTTTTTTTTTCATTCCAGGTGATACAATTCCTTGTAACATAACCTACCCAGGAAGGCCAGGCCCTCCAGGTTTTGATGGACCTCCAGGTATGATCAGTGAGAAGTTACTGTCTTATACATTTCCACTAGAAAAAGAACTGGCAAGACAGATACAGCAATAGCAAATCCTCAGTTAACTGATTAGGGTATTTCTAGAATTCTTACGAGGTTTTGATGGAGTATACGGAAACAACATTTGCAGTAATTTCACAGTTGAATCTCTAGTCTACTGGTTTTAGCACGCTCTGGAGAGGTTTTTCATATCTCAGAATTTACCTGGATTTGATCACCTATCAGCTAAACTGTTTGTCCTTTGAGAGTTTTAAAACTATGACTACTTTCTTTTCCTGTGTGCCAAGAACGAAAGATGAGTATTTGTTTATTGGTTATAAGTCTGTTCTGCTTTCCACAAGAACCAAACTTCTGGCCAAAAGCATTCTGAAAAAATGTCTACATATTTGCATGCCTGATTGAACTTTTAAGCAGCTGCTTTATTTGGACTAAATGTTTGTTTTTTAGCTAAATTAAACCCAAAATCTGAATAAGGGATTTGCCTAATTTTTCTTAATTGTCTCACAGTTCACTTAAAATCGATTCCAACTCATAGCAACTCCATGTGACAGAGTAGAGCTGCCCCATAGGGTCTTCTAGACTGTAATCTTTATAGGAGCAGATCACTAGGTCTGTTTCCCGCAGATTCCCTGGGTGGATCTGAACCACCAACCTTTCAGTTAACAACTGAGTGCTTAACCATTTGTGCCACCAAGGCTCCTTTTTTGTCCTACATAGCTATGACAAGTATTGAAAGATTGAATGATGAATAACTGTGTATTGCCCTCTGTAACATTGGGTATTGTCACCATATAAGAGGCACTGGTGGTTCAGTGGTAGAATTCTCACCTTCCATACTGGAAACCTGGGTTCAATTCCTGGCCAGTGCACTTCATGAGCAGCCATCACCCATTCCTCAGTGGAGGCTTGTGTGTTACTATGACGCTGAACAGGTTTCAGCAGAACGTCCAGACTAGGAATTTCCAGATTAAGACAGACTAGGAAGAAAAACCTACTCCCAACATGACCTCATCTTAACTGATACCATCTTCAGAGACCTTATTACCAAACAAAGTTGCATCAGTGGGTACCAGGGATTAGGACTTCAACATATCTTTTGGGGGACACAGTTCAATCCATAACAGAGACTGAGCATGGGAAGTTACCAGAAAATTCCTTTGAATAGCAGTGTATATTCCAAAGACTTACAGGAAAAACCCATTACTGTATAGCTTCTGAGAAAGTACCTTAGCATATAAAACATTTCATTTGGACACATGACTCATGAAATGATTACTTACACCAGGAGATGAACATCTTTACTTCTGCGAAGTAAAGTACTCTAAAAGATTTAACCAGATTTTGGGGGGAAAATCACCTCACTTTGTCCTCGTTTGATTTGTGTTTTGTTGTTGATGTTGTTTAGGTCCAAACGGATTTCCAGGTTCCCGGGGTGCTCCTGGGCCAAGGTGCTTTAATGGGCAAAAAGGTCGACGTGGCAAACCGGGAATATCTGAAATACCAGGTCCACCTGGTAAATGAAACGTTTTTCCTGCTTTGGGAAATGAATGTCAGGAGCTTGTAAATACTTCTAAAAATTGATGCTTTAGTGAGGAAATGGCCAAGGATCCCTGGATAATGGAGAAAATGGTTTTTCTAGATACATTAGGCCCTTAGCTGTGCTTTAATAACATAGGTTATGATAATTTCATAAGTTACCAGAGTCCTTCCACCTTGAAGCATGAGTTATAGGCCATTATTGCTCTGTTATATTATAGAAATTGCTCAGTTCAGACAGAATGTTTGCCAGAGAATGTAAGCAATTAGGGAAGCTTTATTGGCTTATAGGAAATACAAAGTTAGAATTTATTTTCCTACACACTCTACCTACTAAGAAACTCAGAATTTTAGAAAGTACCCCTATATTTTTTTTAAAAGTGTTTTTATCAGGGTAGTAGTCTTATATTTGTATTGGCTCTATACACGTACGTTTAACTATTAACAATGTGTATTTTTGTTGTTGTTAAATAGGTTTTCGTGGTGACATGGGAGACCCAGGTTTTAAAGGTGAAAAAGGCTCCTCCCCTGTTGGGCCACCAGGCCTTCCCAGTTTACCTGGTGTGGATGGTCGGAAAGGAATCCCAGGTGACCCTGCGTACGGCCACCCAGGACCTCCAGGAAAGAGGGGTCTTTCAGGAGTGCCGGGGGTGAAAGGCCCCCAAGGTGACCCAGGTCATCCGGGGGCTGCAGGTATGAGACCCGTGCTGTCTGTGTGTTTGGGAAAGCGATTCTGGAAAGGTCACTGAAGAACGTTTAGACTATTTTGCGTTAAATCTAGAATGTAAATTTTTCAGCTAAGCGTCTTCCCTCATAGCCAAGTGCTGATTGCATTTAAAATAACCTACACCCCAGGGGTTGCCTTGATATTTTATGGGCTGTTTTCAAATCCGGGGCTGCTCACTGGGGCTAAGTCAACTCAGTTGGATTCAGCAGCTCCTGGATCCCTTCCTACTTTGAAGTCAGGACAGTATGTTGCTGCTGTAAATAGCAGGGGGAGCTGGATGGTGTAACTTGTCCACTGCCATAGCCAAGTTGAAGGTGAACAGGACCTGTTGTAAGAGGGGGAGTAGCCCCAAAGGGTGGAGTAGTATGAGCAGGAGCTTCGTGGGAGATGTGGGAACAAGCTGAACCCCAATGGATAAGCTATATTTGAGCAGGTGACAGGCCGGAAGGGTTTTCATTCCAGTGGGGCAGCAGGCAAGCAGTGGGATTCTGGAGATGGGAAGATGGCCCCAGGAACCAAGTCACATCCTTTCCTGAAAGATACTAGGGATTCTTCAGGATCTACAGCAACAGTTTTCAGATTTTAGTGTACTTAAAGTACATCCTGGGTTGGGGCCTGGGAGGGGACATTAAAATCACAGTTGTCTGGGCCCCAGTCTCAGGAATTCTGATTCATTACTTCTGGGGCAGGCCCAGAAGTCTGCACTTTTAACAAGCACCTTGGTGATTGTGACCAAGATGGGGACCCAGGCCAGATGTTGACAGTGTTCTGGTTCTTTTATAACAATGGATGGGCCACCGTTTATTCAGCATCTACTCTACTATGGGGCAAACAGGAGCAGGGTGGGGGGCGGGGAATAAGCCACCATCCTTGCCCTAAGTCAAAATACTCACACACAAAGGAACAATTAATTGGAATATGAAGAGATAATACATGAATCCATGAAAGTAATTTTGACCCAGTAGTCCCCACTGTGAAAATGCATCCTAATAGAAGTGATGAAGGTTATAGACATGAAGATAATCTTGTAATTTTATCCACATTAGAGGAACAATTAGAAACAATAAAGAAGATTAAATAGGAAAACAAATATATATGTGTATATATTATTCCTTTGACTGTGTGTGGATCTATGTATAGAAACATCCCGTTGCCGTCGAGTCAATTCTGACTCATTGCTACCCTATAGGACAGAGTAGAACTGCCCCATAGGGTTTCCTAGGAGTGGCTGGTGGATTTGAACTGCTGACCTTTTGGTTAGTGGCCATAGCTCTTAACTACTGCGCCATGTAGAGACATAGCTATTAACTATTAAAATCTTATTTGTAAAGATAATAACAAGATGGAAAACATTTGCAGATTGACATGTAATATGAAATAATTCAACAACTGAATGTACACTGGTTACTATTTTTTAAATGTATACATCTGAACCAAAATACAATGAAGATATGGAAAAATAATAGATTTCCAGGTTAAGGTATGAAATTATGGGGCTTTAGTTTTCTCTTTTAAGATTTCTTTTGCTGTTATGACCCTGTCTTTCCAGTAAGTATACATTTAAGAATACAAGTGAGGAAATGTCTTTCAAAGTGAAAATTCATACAGTGTAAACTGGGTTTGTTAGTATCAGAGAGAGTTGGCAAAAAGCCTGCCCTAAAGTTGGATGTTAATTAAAATCAGAAAGAACTACACGGGTTTTGATTTGCATAGGTAACATCTTTATTGTCCACATAACCTTACCAAGGACCTCACTTAGCAATACGTGGTTCATTCATTGGGAGCTCACTACAGTCTCTGATGAGAAAATCCATTCAGAGTCTTAACTCCACTGAGCACTGAGCCAGGATCACAATGTTTTCATCTGGTATTGATATGCATGAACAATTTATTGTAGGCTATCTCTATAGTTTTCTGTCATGATTGTCGTGAATGTGTTGTCTCATTTCAGGGCCAGCTGGCACTCCAGGAATTCCAGGCCTCAAGGGTCCCAAAGGCAGAGAGGGAAGTGCTGGGTTTCCAGGTAACCCAGGCCCACCTGCCCATTCCTGTGAAAGAGGTGTTCCGGGGATACCAGGGCAGCCAGGACTTCCTGGGGCTCCAGGTAGTCCAGGTAAGTGTCAACAAGTGTCAGAACTGTGGAAGGCCTGGGATTTTACTCTTCTTATAAATTACCAGCTGGTCTGTTGCTGTTTTGTCAGTACTGGCAGAAGCAGGACTCCTGGGTCAGAGACAAAGGACTTTATTACTCCCGGCCCAGCAAGTAGCATGAGCTTCATGCTAGTTTGTGTCAGCTCCCAGTGTCCCCCAAGTCCCACTCATGTCACCCTTCATTGCTCATGGGGGCAATTACGGTGGGGCTAGGTGAGGACCTAATGCATTATAGCCACCTACAAAAAAGCCTGCTTTTCGTCTGTCTTGAGAAATGGCCAAGATAAAGAGTACTGTGTTTTACGCAAATAACGTGCGCCTTCTAAATGTGTTTGCCAAGGGGTCCCTCCCCTCTGCGAGGCATTGTCGTCAATACTCCATGCTAATTTTTTTTTACAGCAACATATAAAACAAAGTGGCATAGCAGCACTTGTTGTTGTGGTTAGTTGCTATTAAGTCAACTCCAACTCATGAAAAAAATGTTGCCTGATCTGTGCCATCTTCGCTATCATTGGTATGCTCAAATCCATTGTTGTGGCTACTGTGTATTTTGAGTGCCTTGAAACCTAGGTGGCTTATCTTCTAGCACTCTATTGGACAATATTCTGTTGTGATCCATAGGGTTTTCATTGGCTAATTTTCAGTAGATCACCAGGCTTATCTTCCTTGTCTGTCTTGTTCTGGAAGCTCCACTGAAACCTGTCCACCATGGGTGACTGCTGGTATTTGAAATACTGGTGGCATAGCTTCCAGCAACACAGAAACACCCAAGGCACCACAGACTTCAGACTGACAAGTGGAAAGAGTAGTCAGGATCTTGCTTTCTTGGCATTCCCAGAGAGACATGTAGGAGCATGGGAGACCCATAGAATGTCTCCCTACACCAGGTGCCAGTGGACTATTTTCGATTTGATCTCCATTTCACCCTTCAGATTGTCAGCTCTTCAGATTGTCAGCTCTGCTATTTAAATCCTATCACTTTTTATCCAAACACAGGAATATGTACTCACGTAGGATCAACACAAGATGGGGACAAAACCTGTCACTACTGCCGTATTTCTAGCAACAATAATACTGGATGGTGTTGCTCTAATTTCTGCAATTCCCTCTTCTCAGTTAACAGTCTGACCGATTAACAGTCAGCCAGAGCCTCAGGGAGCACCTGGAAAGTTATTTTCTTCTATGAGTTTATTTTTTTTCTCCATACAATACATACAACATTTTTGTTCTTCATCCCTATCCATGTTCCATTTTTCAAAAGCTATCGGTAAATATTTATTCAAGCGATTTACGCATATTTTTTAAAATTTTATTGTGGTAGAATATACATAATAAAAGTTTGCATTTTCACCATTTTTAAGCATGCAATTCCATGACATTAATTATGTCTAGCATGTTGTGCTGCTGACACCACTATCCACTTCCAAAAGTTTTACTTCACCCCAAACGGAAACTCAGTGCCCCTTCATCAATATACCTGCTCTCTATAACGGCCAGAAAAATATGTTCTTATACTGATGGAGTCTAATTTGTGGTTGTCCCTGGGAATCCCTGAGTGGCACAGTCAGTTAAGCACTCAACTACTAACCGAAAGGTTGGTGGTTCAAACCTACCCAGAGGCACCTCGGAAGACAGGCCTGGTCCTGTGCTTGTGAAAGGTCGCAGCCTTAAAAACCCTATGGAACAGTTGTACTCTGCACGCGTGGGGGCACCATGAGTTGGAATCAACTCAATGGCAGCTGGCTTAGACTCATGAAAAGTGGCTGCTATTATTTTAACCCACAAATATTGTTTTTAGTGCTCGTAGACACATATTTTAAGCTACTGTGAATATTTTTTTCTTGCCTGTGTGTGAAACCAGGTTTCAATCTTCACGTGTTGTCGTCACTGTGGTTTTTCTTAGGTGCCCCAGGCTGGAAAGGACAGCGAGGGGATGAAGGGCCTCCTGGACCAGCTGGAATGAAGGGTCTTTCCGGAGTCCCAGGATGGCCAGGTGCAGAGGGACTCCCTGGACCACCAGGAATCTCAGGCCCTTCTGGGGATGATGGACTACCTGGTCTTCCAGGCCCACAGGGTGTGTAATGTGTTTACATTATCTTCCCCCATTTTATAACCTTGAAATTCACTGCCAAGTGAAGTCTGTTGCGTATGACCATACTAATGGAATTTACTGGTCCATTAGCCTGACTTTGCCCTTCCCTTATTGATATCGGTCTCTTCTTCTATCCTCTGTGTTGTCATTTCCAGTGGCAGAATGCTTTAGTGTAGGTAAATGGGATAAGGGGTGAGGATGTTAGGTTCACAGAGTCCATAAATGCTTCTGCTCAAAGGGCTGGGTAGCTAGAACAAATGAGGTACTAGGGTCAGGGCTAACGTACCTTCTCTTTGGATGGGCCCTCCACCCTCCACCCCTGGTTCCCTTAAAGCATTATGGGATCAGGACTCAGAAAACTGAGGGCTTGCATTTCAGGTCTATGGGGTAGAAAACTGAGAAAGACTGAGTGGGAGGGTAGAGCTATTAAACAGTGAGGTTGATAACGCTGTTGACCTTCAATACAAACTCTGAGTTAGGTAGGAGCTTGCATCTCAAAGTGGACTGCCAGAAACGCAGATAGAGTAACCACCATAGCCTTCCAAACGTTTCCCTAAAAACCCATGTTGTCTTTTCTCAGGACCTCAGGGTCTGCCTGGTGTCCCTGGTTTTCCGGGGGAGAGAGGAAAGCCTGGCCCAGAGGGACGACCTGGCAGAAAGGGAGAACACGGAGAGAAAGGTTGGCCTGGTCTTCTGGGAGACCAGGGAACGAGAGGTGCCAAAGGTAAATACATTTAACAACACAGTGAAGTGCAATTTGTTTGTTTTGGAGATTTAATTGAACCTTTAAACATTTGAACCTATAAATATGAAAAATAAAATGGAACTATCCTGTTGCTTGCGTTCCTCTTCCTTTTGGTTCCACAGCATTTGTTTTAGAATTGTAAACAAATGTCTTTTTATTTTCCGTACCTTGCAGCCCTCTTGCATTTAAGTATGGCATGTGAATAACTCTATTAATAGAAAAAACATTAACAAGTGGCTCTTAATGCTTTGATTGGTGGTGATTGGGTTTCAGGGAACCTTCCCACCTGTTGGCAAGAGAGTACAGGCAGGGCTCCTGGCCCCCAACTGTTACTTAAATTAGAACAGGCGTTGGCAAACTTTTTCTGTAAAGTTCCAAATAATAAATATTTTAGGCTTGGGAGGCCCTGTGGTCTCTGTCGCACCTACTCAACTCAGCTGCTGCAGCAGGAAGGCAGCCAACCAGTTTATGTAGATAGCACGTCAACCAATGAACGTAGCTGCGTTCCAATAAAATTATTTTATGGACCCTGAAATTTGTATTTCATGTGTCATGAAATAACTATTCTTGTTTCGATCTTTTTTCCCTCAACCATTAAAAAGCGTACATATCATTCTTAACTCCTGGATCATAAAAAACAGGTGGTGAAGCTATTGTTGGTCCATGGCTATAATCTACACTCAGCCCTGAACTTAAATGAGTCTACTTTCATCGGGGGCATGAATTGGGTTTCCCCCAAGCTTCATATAAAAAAAGGATTCCATTACTATAAAAAAAAAAAAGAAAAATACAATAGACGTAAATGTTCTTTGCCCATTCCTATTAAATGTTTACTTTTACCTCTTAGCCTCAAGGCTTCAGTGAGTGAAAGTAACATTTTATGTCCCGTGTTGAGAACGAACTCTTGATGACTTTTAGAAACAAGGCTTTGGCCCTTAAAGATCTTTGGAAAAATAACCTCATATTTAATTCAAATTACTTTTGCTTCTTAGTCAGTTGATTCTACTATTATTTTTTGTTTTACTAACCACTAAATTATTTATGTAGAATCAAGGAATCAAAGAGCTGTTCTTTACTAACTTAGATGAGGAATGTTTTGCTGTGTTATTATGCTGCTATACCACTGACCAAACCACAACCTGTTGCCGTCGAGTCAGTTTGGACTCGTGGAGACTCCATGTGTTACAGAGTAGAACTTCTCCATAGAGTTTTCTTGGCTATAATAATTTTTATGGAAACAGATTGCCATTCCTGTATTCCCCAGTGGTGCTGGGTAGGTTCAAACTGCCAACCTTTAGGCTATTAGTTGAGTGAATACCATTTGCGCAGGTAGTAGGAACCTACTACACCACCATCCCAATAAAAACAACATAACAATAAAGGATTGGGTTCATGCAAGCGATGTACTGGTAAACTGTTGTTGTTGTTAGGTGCCGTCAAGTCAGTTCCGACTCATAGTGACCCTCTGCACCACAGAACCGAACGCTGCCTGGTCCTGAGCCATGCTCACAATCGTTATGCTTGAGCCGATTGTTGCAGCCACTGTGTCAATCCATCTTGTTGAGGTTCTTCCTCTTTTTCGCTGGCCCTGTACTTTACCAAGCATAACGTCCTTCTCCGGGAACTGATCCCTCTTGACAACATGTCCAAAGTATGTAAGACGTAGTCTTGCCATCCTTCCTTCTAAGGAGCATTCTGGTTGTACTAGTTCTCCAAAAACAACAGCCATGACTTGTAGCACTTGCTGCTTTCCGTGGTGTAAATACTCCCACCGTGGCTGATTGCAAGCTACCAGTGGTTTAACAACTGGCTCACAAAATTCTTGAATTGTTAATAATTGACTCTTGCCAACCTGGTACAAACCCACTCCAGCAAACTGCTATGACTGGACAGTGCTTAGGAAAGTCAGAAATATACGTACTGTATTTTGCATGCTTTCTACCATTTTGGAAGTCTCTGTGGTGAACTAAGCTGAGATAGTTAAGTGTCTGTTCTTTAAAAAAAAAAAATACAAAACCAAACCTGTTGCCATAGAGTTGATTTCAATTCATGGAAACCCCATGTGTTACAGAGTAGAAATGCTCTTTGGAGGTTTTTTTTTTTTTTTTTTTTTTTAGCAGATTGCTAGGTCTTTCTTCTGCAGCACTGCTGGGTGGGTTTGAACTCCCAACCTATAGGTTAGTAGTTGAGCACAAATCATCTGCACCACGTGGGGATTTTTTTTCCTGTTCTTTTAGTGTTCCACTAAGAGGCAGAAGATACGGAATTGAGACATATGAGATGAACAGTTCAAATTTCACAGGGTAAAGAGACATTTTTTTAGACTTTTCAGGCCTGTCTTAACTCACTGAAGACCCTGATACCAGTTTGGTTGAATTTCACAAACATTCACTGAGCACTCACTGCACACCAGGCCCATGGCTGGACAGTGGGGAGAGGAAAGTAAAAGGCACAGCCCTTCCATCGGGAATCAGTAATGATATTGATGTTGTGTAGTGCATAAACATAAATACACTTCAGGAGGTCAAATGGGGATTTCTAAACCACAAGTGAACTACTGTAACAGAAGAATCTTGTGTGCTTCTGTGTGTTTTGCTTGTGAATATTTAATACTTAAAGGAGAGAGAGGACCTCCAGGAGATGAAGGAGACGTGACTATAATTTCCAAAAAAGGGAAGGCAGGAGGTCCTGGACCCCCTGGAGATGTTGGATTCCCAGGAGAAAAAGGTAAACACTTCCATTGTTTTTAACCGTATCAAATAAGCTGACATCTTTACAGAAAATTCCAGCAAGCATGTGTATTAGGCAACTTTTCCAGGAACAGTGAGATTTGGAAAGTTTATTTTTTAGCTATAAATATACACTAACGAACCTGGTGGTAGATTTTAACTTTTCCATGCTAGAACTTAGCTCAAGTCCATATGATTTTATAGATTTGAACATTCCAAATGAGAACCAATACTCAGGTCCCAAGTTTCAAGTACCCTCCACCTCTATTTCTGGTACCAAAACCAAACCCGTTGCCATTGAGTCGATTCTGACTCATAGCGACCCTATAGGACAGAGTAGAACCACCCCATAGGGTTTCCAAGGAGTGGCTGGTGGATTCAAACTGCCAACCTTTTGATTAGCAGCCAAACTCTTAACTGCTGTGCCACCAGAGCTCAATTCTGACTCATAGTGACCCTATAGGACAGAGAAGAACTGCCTCCTAGAGATTTCAAGGAACAGTTGGTGGATTTGAACTGCTGACCTTTTGGTTAGCAGCTGAGCTCTTAACCATTGCACCAACAGGGCTCCATTCCTGAAAGTTGTGGTAAAACCAAGAGTCAATAGCACAATAACTGTCCAAGTCATTTCAACCAATGCTTCTGAAACTTTAATGTACATAAGAATCACCAAGGAACATATTAAAATGCAGATTCTGATTCAGCAGCTCTGGAGCAAGCTGGAGACTTCCTTTTTACCAAGTTCCCTTGCCTATGTTGCTGGTCCTCAGAAACACCAAGTAGCCAGAATTTTGACAACATTTGTATTCTCTTGAAGTTCAGACTTAATCTCCATGAAACCTGGGTTCTTGTCTTGCCTCTCTCCTTAACTAGCTGTTAGGGGACACATGTTTTAACTTCTTTGGGTGGGTATGTTCTTCCTTGTTTGTAAAATGAGAGTATTGGATCAAATGATTCCTGTACCTCCCCACTACCTCTGATGGGCCTGAGTCGGTACACGGACAATGCAACCCAGGCTTGGAATTAGGGCTCTCCATACCTTGAGCTTCACCTTCTAAAAATAGAACAAAGTGTCCCAGCCTAACTATTGCCCAGGATTTCAGTGAGGAGCTTTATAATACTTCCAACCTCATCAGGTGATAAAGGAAGTCCAGGGATGCAAGGGAGACGAGGAGAACCAGGAAGACAAGGACCACCTGGATTTCACAGTGGAGAGCCTGGTAGAAATGGACAGCCAGGGCTTCCTGGACCCCAAGGACCTCCAGGCTTACCTGGCCTAAGAGGGATCATTGGTTTTCCAGGATTTCCAGGTGACCAGGTAAGTGACTGCTGCTTTGGGAGGGAGGAAATAATAAAACCTTTCTGCCCTTGGGATCCCATAATGAGTCATAATTAACCAGTGTCCATCATTGCCCTTTCACTAATTAAAATATAAGTGGTAGGACAAGGGGAAAATGGAACCTTCTGGAAGGCCATGGTGTAACTGAAATTTCTGACCAGTGCTCAGGTCTGTTTGTCCTGGTACAGATGATCAAGCTTTCACATATTTCATGTACTACCTCCCAGCCTGGTTTGAACAACTCAGTAGAGACTTGCCTCATGACTGCTGATTACCAGGATGAAAAGCTGTCCTAGAAAATGACCCACATCATTTCTAAGCGTTGGCTTCTAAGCCTTCCTATCTGATGGCAGATATCATAGGTTTCACTGTAAATACCATTGGTGTTTGTAATCATGAGTAAAATATCGCTTGAGAAGCCAGGAGGTACAATGAACTTAGTGGCCTAAATTGTCCTTCTGGAAAATGCATCATATAATTTGATACCCATTTTTTGTAATGAAATGGATTTTAAAATTTTTAGTATTATATATGACTTCTAATAATATTCTGTTTAGTATCAACTTGTGTATTCAAAACTTAAAATTCAAGTTATGCAATGCAGTTACTGTTTTGCAATCAAGTGTAGAGAACACCTGTTAGTATTTACATCTCTTTCTGGAGGGGTTTAATTATTTTTGAAAACTAAACACATGTAGTAGTATGCTTGCATTGTGCTTGCAATTTTCTTTACCACTGAAAATCATGAAAACTAAATTGGTTAAGAAAATCATTCTTGGGCCATGTCGTGTATATGCCATTTATATGTGGAACCCAATAAAGTCTCACTTCTGTTTCATTCAACTATCAGGGTGATCCAGGTTCTCCAGGCCCCCCTGGATTTTCAGGGATTGATGGAGGGAGAGGACCTAAAGGTATGATTTGGAAATACAGCTGCCATCTGTCAAGAGCGTAGTCCTCTGTGTTGTGTTTGTACTGTTGTGAGCAAGCTTTAAAAGCAAAGTATATAAAACAAACTGCAATGTCCAAGAGGTTCTTCTTAGACTCTACTAGACAGTCAAACACTCAAAACTCAAGTTGTCCACACTTGTCACTTAGATTGAAGGGTATCAGATAGGAAAGGCATGCCAACTGGGCACATCAAGTCTTCCTCTTTAGTGGGAAGACTTGCAGCAGTCCAGTTAGTGCTGCAGCCCCCTAAGTGACAGCTCAGGTGCAAGGAGGTGAGATCCACATTGGTGGGCCATGTCCACCTTGACTTGGAAGCCCCATGCACCTCATGTGCCAGTATGTCTTCTGACAACTCCAGAGGTATAGCTTTTACAATCCCAGTTACAAAAGTCACTATAGAGAAGTCATTACAGAGAAGCCGAAACCCATGACTTCCCACTAGATGTCTGTAGTTCATTTAAAGAATTGCCAGGCCAGACATAATTTACAATCTGGTCATACGCCAAGGGTCAGCAGATGCTTTGCAGGCCATATGGTCCTATCGGGACTACTCAACTGTGCTGTTGTAGCAGGAAAGCAGCCATAGATAACATGTAAAGAAATGGGTGTTGCTGTGTTCCAATAAAACTGTATTTACAAAAAAGGCTGCAGGCTGGATTTGGTCCCACGGGCCTTAGTTTGCCTCTTGCTAAAAACAATGTTGCCTTGTAACACGACTGACATCCTACCTTTATTAGATTTCCAAGGAAACAGGGCTAGAAAATTAACCCAAGGTCAACAGTGTCCTTAGAGAAAGAGAGGTTTTGTTAACTCTTTTTCCAGACAAGCAAAGAAACAAATAAATAAACAAAAATCAAGATTTCTTAAATTGCAATCTTTGCATAAAATCTTCAGTATTTTTACTATCTTTGTATACCATTGGGTTAATATTTTTCTTTAATTCTACTTTAAAACACCTTTTTAACCTTAGCCTCATCCTAGTCACTATCTGTGAATTCACAGGTTTGATGTGCAGTTATATTTTATCTTAATATCTATTAAAATAAATAACTTTAAAATATAAAATACTTATTAACGAGCCACATACAATCCTCTTCCTTACCATCAGTGATATATGTTTTATACTTTGAGAGACACTCTATAAATAATATGATAATTACTGTAAAAAAAATGAACTGAGCATACTTATATATTCAGAAAAAATAATCTAGATTACTTCTTCAGAAATTGTTACAAATAAGGAAGTTTTCATATTTGATTTTAATGATTGTTATAGCTTCAGGGTTCAGAACTCACTCCTCTTCTTTGTACTTATAAATTTATTATAGTCCCTTTGCCTCTCTCACAGTACAAACCTACCTCTTCTCATTTCCTTCATGATTGTATTTGGCCTTGTTTTCAAGAAACTGAAATGCACTCGAGATACCTAGAGTAAAAGATGTCTCATGGAGCCCATAGCTAGGAGCCATAGTTCTTCCAGACCATAAGGCTAATGGAACTAATGCTTGGACAACCCATGATTTCTTTCTTGAGACTTATCTGCTTTTCTTTGTGCTCTGTTCTTTACTCACCTGTCTACCTACTGGCTTCATCACTCTGTATTCTTTATCCTTTCTGGATCTTGAATGTTTAGATCCCACCCGAACTTGCTCTGTGTCGGGGCAACTCATGATACATCCTTTTAGTTTCTTCCCCAGTAGCCAAGGATTTCAAGTTCTCATTTTTTTATTCCAGCTTCTCAAGAAAAGACTGCTTAACCTGGGATGGACCACTTTCCAGTCAGACTCCTTCCCCTTAAACAACTAGCCATGATTATGGGTAGTCTCAGGTGGAAGACACTTTTCCATACGATATGGGTGGGACTCCTTAGAAGAGGGTGTTTGTTGTCAGATACTATAAAACATGCCTAGCTTCTCTCTTTTATTAGCTTGTAATCCTTCCTGTTTTATTGTCCTTCCCACCCTTCCACTTTGAGTCCTCCATTTAAAACTGGCTCCCAGCTATAAGGTACGTCCTTGTATCTGGAAGCATCATTCAGCAGAGTTGAGCAGCTCTGTGGGACTGTAAGAGTCATTGTAAACAATGGCCTTTGAAAGTGCCATCTCTTGTAAAGTCATTGATAAAGTATGCTTTTGTGATTTTGTTTTGCAAAGACACTGAGTTGAGCTTCCTAGCAGAAACTTCAAATGTGTTTGCAGTCGCTGAAGCAGTGACGATTTCTGCTTTGTGTTTCTAAAACATAAGGGTATAGTCATTCAAAGCCAAGTAGTTTCTTTAATGAAAACTTAAGTTTGAAACTTCTTTAGGGACTTAAAAATTCAAACTTAAGATCTGTAGTCTCTGTGATTGTTATAACCTATAAAATTGTGTGTTTGAATCACGTTTTGCATTTGTGTTTCCATTTGTTCTTATTTAGGGAAAAAAGTATTTAAAAAAAATCCTCTTCTGGAATATTTGAAGATAGACTGTAAAGAAAAATGTCATTAAAGTTACTAAGTCACTTATATAAGACCAAATTATATTTTCTTAAATATGTTATGTGCATTTTATCACTTACAGGAAACAAAGGTGATCCTGCAAGGCAGGTTGGTCCACCTGGTCCAAAGGGTGATCCAGGTAGCCTTGGATGTCCAGGTATAGCTACATATTTTTCTCATTAAACCAAAAAATAAAAATAAATAAATTAGATTAGAAAAATAGAAAACAATTACCTTTATCTTCCTAGCTGGCAATTATTATATCAGTATTTTCTCCTTCTTTTGCCTTTTAAGGAGCCCTGATGGCACAGTGGTTAGGAACTTGGCTGCTAACCAAAAGATAGGCAGTTTGAATCCACCAGCCGCTCCTTGGAAACCATAGGGGGCAATTCTACTCTCCTGTAGGGTCACTATGAGTCGAAATCAACTCAATGACAATGGGGTTTTTTTTTTGTTTTGTTCTTTTGCCTTTTCAGATACACAGGAAAAAAACAAACCAAAGCCAAAGCTGTTGAGTCGATTCACAGTAGAGGATTATATATAAGCATTGTAGTAGCATTCCTGGTCCAGAAAGACACCAGGATTATGTCCCAGGGGTTCTGAATCTTTTTTTCCACAACAACTCACAGGACAGATGGTGTTAACACAATAAACTTTCCAGGGCATGCCTAGATTTTGACAAAATTGAAAATAAATATTGCAGACAATGAAAATTTGGACTGTTTTTGCAATCTCCATAATCAAAAACATGACATTAGTAATAGCTATCCATGCACACTGACTACAGCTTCAGGTTGTGATTCTGGCCCTTTCTCACCTGCTTGGAAAAGCATGTTTGAGTGCAAGTGAGAAGTGCTGGCAGAAGCCCTTGTGGCCCGCAGTGGTTAAGTACTCGGCTGCTATCCAAAAGATTGGTGGTTTGAATCCACCAGCTGCTTCTCGGGAGAAAGATGTGGCAGTGCTTTTCCATAAAGATTACAGTGTTTGAAACCCTATGGGGCAGTTCTACTCTGTCCTATAGGGATGCAGTGAGTCGGAATCGACTCAACAGCAACAAGTTTTGTTTTTTTTGAGAAGTGTTGGGGTCGAGATATTACTAAATCCACTCTAAGTTACTAAAAATTAAAAGAAACAAACATAAAATCTTACCACCAACAATAAATGTAAGTCATTCAAATCAACAGTATTTGCTTGTCAGAAACAATGTGGAATCCCTCAGAAATAATTGTGATGTGTTGTTATTGTTAGTTGTCATCAAGTCGATTCCAAATCATGACGTCGGACTGGTCAGTTACTGCCCTCTGGTTCAGGCCGAGGCTTGCTACATTAGATGGCCCACAGCAGAAGGGAGGCGCTGGTGCTTTACACAGCTGCATACTTCAAAGGGGAAGGGAAAATAATTGGAGTTCAAACCAATAGAATGGGACCGCTGGAAGGGAAAGCAGTCTTAGGACAGGTTGCCATATTGGTTTGCACCCATATGTGTTTATCTGTCAGAAAATGGTGAGAATGTAAATTAGTACTTTCTGGACAATGCTATGGAAATATGCATTAATCTTTAAAATATGCATACCTTTTGACTCAGTAATTTCACTCCTGGGAATCTTAAGTCAATAATCAAGCAAGTGTATGAAGATGTGTGCACAGGCATAGCCAATGCACGGTTAGAACAAGTGTCCATCCAGAGATGATTGATTAAATAAGATATGCCCAAATTATCCAGCTGACAGAGAGTAGAAATCAGGCTTTTATTTAGATGGGTCTCATGTCAAATGGATGTCAGAAAAGACTCTGAAACTTGTTCTTGAACATAGAGCAGCTAAAGCAAATGAAAGAAATGATGAAGTAAAAGAGCTGAACAGAAGATTTCAAAGGGAGGCTTGAGAAAACAAAGTAAAGTATTATGATGAAATGTGCAAAGACTTCGGAGTTAGAAAACCAAAAGGAAAGAACATACTCGGTATTTCTCAAGCTGAAAGAACTGAAGAAAAAATTCAAGCTTCAAGTTGCAGTATTGAAGGATTCTACAGAGAAAATACTAAACGATGCAGGAAGCATCAAAAGAAGATGGAAGGAATATACAGAGTCACTGTACCAAAAAGAATTGGTCGACATTCAGCCATTTCAGGAGGTAGCATATGATCGAGAACTGATGGTGTTGAAGGAAGAACTCCAACCTGCACTGAAAGCATTGTTGAAAAACGGCTCCAGGAATGGATGGAATTCCAATTGAGATGTTTCAACGAACAGATGCAAATGCTGGAAGCACTCATTCGTCTATACCAAGAAATTTGGAAGACAGCTACCTGGCCAACTGACTGGAAGAGATCCATATTGGTACACATTCCACAGAAAGTTGATCCAATGGAATGTGGAAATTATCAAACAATATCATTACTATCACATGCAAGTAAAATTTCTCTGAAGATAATTTCAAAAATAGTTGCAGCTGTACGTCGACAGGGAACTGCCAGAAATTCAAGCTGGATTCAGAAGATGACGTGGAATGAGGGATATCATAGCTGATGTCAGATGGATGGATCTTGGCTGAAAGCAGAGACTATCAGAAAAACGTTTACCTGTGTTTTATTGACTATGCAAAAGCATTCAACTGTGTGGATCATAACAAATTATCGATAACATTGTGAAGAGTGGGAATTCCAGAACCTTTAATTCTGCTTATGCGGAACCAGTACATAGACAAGAGGCAGTTATTCAAACAGCACAAGGGGATACTTCACGGTTTAAACTCAGAAAAGGTGTATGTCAGGGTTGCATACTTTCACCATTTTTATTCAGTCTTTGTGCTGAGCAAATAATGCGAGAAGCTGGACTGTATGAAGAAGAACGCAGCATCAAGATTGGAGGAAGACTAACAATCTGCAATATGCAGGTGACACAATCTTGCTTAATGAAAAGGAAGAGGACTTGAAGCGCTTACCGATGAAGACCAAAGACCACAGCCTTCAGTGTGGATTATACCTCAATATAAAGAAAACAAAAATTGTCACAACTGAACCAATAGGCAACATCATGATAAACGGAGAAAAGATTGAAGTTGTCAAGGATTTCATTTGACTGGGGTCCACCGTCAACACCCGTGGAAGCAGCAGTCAAGAAATCAAACGATGTATTGCATTGGGCAAATCTGTTGCAAAAGTCATCTTTAAAGTGTTAAAAAGCAAAGATGTCACCTTGAGGGCTAAAGTGCACCTGACCCAAGCCATGGTATTTTCAATCACCTCATATGCATGTGAAAGCTGGACAATGAGTAAGGAAGACCGAAGAAGAATTGATGCCTTTGAATTATGGTGTTGGCAAAGAATATTGAATATACCACGGACTGCCAGAAGAATGAACAAATCTGTCTTGGAAGAAGTACATCCAGAATGTTCCTTAGAAGCGAGGATGGCAAGACTTCGTCTCACATACTTTGGACATGTTATCAGGAGGGACCAGTCCCTGGAGAAGGACACCATGCTTGGTAAAGCATAGGGTTAGCGAAAGAGGGGAAGACCCTCAATGAGATGGATTGACACAGTGGCTGCAGCAGTGACTGTGTGTGTTTGTTCTGTTGTACATAGGGTCGCTATGAGTTGGAACTGACTGGAGGGCACGTGACAACAACAACATGTCATATTAACACTTTGTGTATTACCTGAAAATCCTCTCTGGCAATACTGAAGTTTCTTTTCATATAACAAGAGGAAAAAAATATCTGAGAAGAACTAATATAGGAAAATTTATTTTATTCTTTTTATACAATAAGATTACTAAAATGAAAGCCCAAAAGAAACACAAGCTATCAAAGTGTGCAAAAATTTCTCTTCCCACCTCTTTCATATCAGTCTTTAACTTCTGACATGGTCAAATCTATTTACATAGATACTATAATACTTTAACTGGAATATGTAACCTGGGTGTATGTTTGGAAAGGAAAATACTTTCGAGATCAGTATTCTGGTGTTTCCTAATAAATACCAGAATAAGAAGTCTCAGAGAGGAAAAAATAGTGGCTCAAAGTCAACTTCCCTTGTTAAGTGTCATCAATTGGCACAACATTAAGAGATTTCCACACATTCTGTTATTTTAATGTAACTCCTAAAGATAGTAACATTTTAGAAGCTGAAAGTAGTCCAAAATGGGGACCTTTGATCTAATATTTTAGTCATAAATATAAAACAATATTTTGGGTCTTCCTCTCTTTCCCTGACCCTCTACCAAGCACGATGTCCTTCTCCAGGGACTGGTCCCTCCTGACAGCATGTCCAACGTACCTGACAAAGTCTCGCCATTCTCATTTCTAAGGAGCATTTAGGGTGTACTTCTTCCAAGACAGATGTGTTCATTCTTCTGGCAGTCCATGGTATATTCAATATTCTTTGCCAACACCATAATTCAAAGGCGTCCATTCTTTGGTCTTTATTGAAAACACTGTGCTAAGTGAAATAAGCGAGACACCGAAGGACAAATACTGTATGATTCCACTATAGGAAATATCTGAAGTAGGCAACTTCATAGATACAGAATATAGTTTAGAGGTTACCAGGGTTTGGGGGGAGAGAGGAGAGAGAATTATTGCTAAATGGGTACAGAGTTTCTGTTTGTGGGTAGAAACCCAATACATATGTTGGTTGGTTGTATGAATAAATTAATAAATGAATGAACGGACAAATGGAAGAGTGAGCAACTAAGCTAGTAGCTTTGAGGGTAAGGGTCTTCACCTCAATCAACTCCTCTTGGGTTTGTAAACACAGAGCCATATTTTTTTTATTGTGGTAAATATATATGTAATAAAACATTTGTCATTTCAACATTCTTCACATGTCCAATTCTGTGACATTACTTAGTTTATCATGTTGTTCAGCCATCACCATTATCTGCTTCCAAATTTTTCCATTACCCTTAACAGGAGCAGAGCTATGTATTTTATTTGCCGATTCAACCAGTCCTTTTCAACACAGATTATTGATTTATCCTACAAACATGAATTGTATTAAAATCACAAATGGTAAATAAACACGTGGGGAAAATAGTTATCCTCTCTAATAATCAAGAAAATGCAATTAAAAGTATGTTTGATTTTATCCCAAATTAACAAAAACAAGCCAGCCAACTAAAACATCCTCAATGAAAACATAGAATGTTTTCGAAGTTGTGATCATGGAATTGTGAGTGGGTTGCATTTGGGGCTGTGAGTTGGTACAGCGTTTACTCCAAAACATTTAGCAGCTTGTCAAGAACCAAAATCCTGAATGGCCTGTTCTAGATGACCAAAGAACCACTGACAGATTCTCTTCAGCAAGTCAATGCTATGAGAAAGGGACAGTTTTCGATGTTTAAAAATTGAAGGGCTGTATCACCAGATGCAATGTATGGCTCTGGAATGGAGCCCAGTGTGGACAAATCAGTTGTGAGAACATTGAGGGGACTGTTGGAGACATTTGAATGTGGACTGAGTATTAGATGATATTAAGAGATTGTTATTAATTTTGTTGGCTGTGATACTGTTATTTTGGCAATGTAGGAAAGTGTTCTTATTTTCAGACGTACCGCCTGAAGTATTTATGGATAGAATTCCATGATGTCTGTGATTTACTTCAGCATTTTAAACTCTATAAAAAAAAAAAAGAACCAAAATATCATACTATTTTACCTAGAAATTCTACTCCTAGGGGTTTTTTCCCAAGGAAATAATTTAATAGGAGAAAAAAATTAAAGACTTATAAAGATCATTATGCATAAAGCAAAGAGCTAGAAACAGCTTAAATGGCCAGTAGTAGGAGAAAATTAGATTAATTCAATTAAGATTAACTCAGTAAGCTGTCAGCCAGTCATTTAAAAATGCTAATTAGGAAAACGATGACAAACTTGGAAAATTATGATACAGTGCTAATTGAAACATCAGAATATAAACTGGTACTATTTGCACATGTATTTATGGAAAATTGTGTTAAGGTGGTGGGATTATAGATGTTTTCTTTTCAGTTTTTTCCTTAATGTTATTAAAAATTTTAAATATAAAAAAGTAAGAAAAAAAAGAATAGCGAGAGCTAAAGTAGACCTTTTCTTTGGTTCACCGTCTCAAAGAGCCATCTACAACTACTCAGATGTTTGATCCTTCTTTCTTTAGGGCACTTCGGAGTCCCCGGAGAGCAGGGCTTGCCTGGTGTTCAAGGGCCCAGAGGACCACCTGGAAGGCCAGGACTGCCAGGCTCCTCCGGACCACCAGGGTGTCCAGGTACTTTGAAAGAAAGTCTGGACACTGCCTGGGTACTCATGTATCTCTTGGTGTTTTGGAAAGAGGCAGCCTTCACTTACACAGTCTTGGATTCAGATCTACTTTCTCATTTCTTAGACTGTGATTTTGGGCAGGTCACTTAAACTTACCTTCTCCTCACGTGTAGAATGAATCTAGTCCCATCCCAGTGGATTAGGAGTCAACTAAGAAAACACCTGCCAAGTGTCTAACATGGTGCCAGGTATTCCAGCCCTCCTCATTTCACCAGCCATTTGGTATGCTGGTTTTTCTTTTCTCTTTTAGACATGAGGCAAATAGCATATATATATGGCACAATGAATCCCCTTTCGGCCCATTCAGAATAAAGGGACTGTTAAAAACCATAATTGGCAACTTGTGAGAAGTCTGTTTTCTTCTCCTAAGGTTAAGTGTATTTTTTCCTCAGAATTAAAGATCTAGGAAGAGAGAGTAATGAAACAATGTTCCCAGTTACCCACATATAAAGAGCACAGATGTTTTCTCAGTTAATGTAACTCATATCATCTGGTTGTCTGAAAAACACCCCTGTCATCCTCAGGTGATCGAGGGGTGACTGGGCTGAGGGGACATCCAGGAGAAACAGGGGACCCTGGACCAAGAGGCCTCATGGGGAATCCAGGGTCACCAGGTCCTCCAGGAATGAAAGGTAAGTCAAAAGGAAGCCCAACCCATCAGAAAGATCCAGCCAATGAGGCCAAATTCATCACACCTTTCCTGCACTCATGAATGACATTGCTCTTGGCCATGGCACTCTCCCCCATGGATGCCATTAGCACCCTCTGATTCCTTCTTACCTAGGGCTTCAGACAGTGCTCATCTACCTGTTGACCTGCCTTCTACCATGGAGTATCCAGAATGATGGTACTGCCATCTCATCTCTTAGGGCATTTTTTTCCCAGTGTTTTCCATGATGTTCAGGGTTGTTTGTACTCCCCACAGATAGTTGAGCTCCTGCTATGGCTAGATTCTATGGTAGATGCTGGGGACACAATTTTGAAGAACATAGGCATGGCTCCTGCCTCCATGGAGTTCACAGTCTAGCAAGAGAGATAGAAATTAAAAATGAATATGTAACGAGACTAAAGGGGCACACCAGCCCAGGGGCAAGGACAAGAAGGCTGGAGGGAACAGGAAAGCTGGTAATGGAGAACCCAAGGTCGAGAAGGGGGGAATGTTGACATGTCATGGGGTTGGCAACCAATGTCACAAAACAATATGTGTATTACATATTTAATGAGGAACTAATTTGCTCTGTAAACCTTCATCTAAAGTACAGTAAAAAAATAAAAATGCATATGTAAATAAATATATTTATCAGTTGTGGTGAGTGAGAGAAACAGAAGAGGAAGGTGCTATGAGAAAAAATAACTGGTGTTTATTTTCTTCATTAGATAAGGAAAAGAATGTTTTTTTCCTGTCTGAATTTTTTTGGCCTTAATGGTAATAGTAGACTGGATATAATATGACTAGTTTTAATATAAGTCTGAACGTATTATGCTATAATAGACTATAATATAATATGTACTTGTTATTAACAAATCTTCATGCCTTCCCATTCATTGATGTTACTCATTACTCTTTGTCCATTTTCTTCTAGGCCTCACAGTGTTTTAGAAAAAGTATTTTTTCCGAGGGTACTTTGTACATACTTATCACATAACAGTTATATTGTAGCACATTTGTTTATTTTGAGGTCTTGCTCACCAAGCAGAATATGATTCTTTAAAAAAAAAAAACAACCAAAAACCAAGGACTACGTTTATATTTTTGGCACCCAGTAGATACCCAGTACATATGTTGATTGGTTGTGTGAATAAATTAATAAATGAATGAATGGACAAATGGAAGAATGAGCAACTGAGCTAGTAGCTTTGAAGGTAAGGGTCTTCACCTCAGTCAACAGTTGAAGGTTTTAAGCCTTACTTGTTGAAGGTTTTAAGCCTTACTTGGTAGATGTCTGTAACCAAGCCTCCTGTATCTCCTCTTTCCTCCTTTCTCTTCGCATCAAATCTTCTGCTCCTTGACTCACACGTAAACTATGTAAAATGAAAAGTACCCCCTCTCAAAAGTGTTGGAAACCCTTTCTTCTGGGCTTAAACTTTTTATTTGTTTGGAAAATCCAAATAATATTTTTCACACTTTTACCTCTTCACTCATCATATAGCTTTCAAATAATTCTGGTTTTCCAGAAGTTCAAGTATGGTATGTATTGCCCACTATAATTCTGCAAAGAGGGAGACCCTTGTCTAGAGGTGTTGGTACACTTACGTATTTCTGTACAGCTAAATAACATGTTATTTTTCCATCAGAAGATAAACTGGCTTTGTATTGATGCTTTTAGTAACGTGAAATCCAGTGATTTGTGATAAATTGGGGTTTCAAGCAAAATGGTAATTTTGTTATTTTAAAACTTTCTCTGGTGATGCGGCCGTTTCCTTTCTCTGACTATCCCTACAGCCCTGGTAGAGTTTTTTTGTTTGTTTGTTTTTGTTTTTTACATTTATTTTATATTTGAGTGTCTGGAAGAGAAAGTTGGAAAAAAAACAAGACGAAAACATTTCCCATTGTTAATCACTCCTACTGCATTTCCATCTCTTCCTACAGTCCAAAGAATTTTCAAGTGTCTTGGTGCCATAACCATATACCCCCAGCTTGAGAAAACTGACACAGACTCTTGTTACTTTTGTCAGTTTGTCCTTTCCTTGAAATAATTTGTATTTATTATATATTTCAGTATGACATATTAAAAAACTGACATGTCATGAATTTGATCTAATCGCAAAATTACTGGAAAAGTAATCTCTAAACGCATCATAATTCTGTGCCTTGAACTAGTGAGTTTGGTAAGAAGAGAGGGTAAGGAAGCAAATACATCCCCCCACACACCTTCATACCAGTGTCCCATGCTGCCGTGGTGCTTCCTGGCGGTGCAGTGACCCTCTTATTCTTCAAACAGCCCATGGAACCAGCAGTCTTTAAACAAAACAAAACAGTAAAATGCATTCCTCAGAATTCAAACATTTGCACCATAAATTCATTGTTGCAGTTTATCATGCTGATACAGAAATGCGCCACACTGCAGCAGAAACACTTTGAACTGAGAAACTAAATATTTGAAGTATGTTCTCAATAAGTCAAGGGAACTGATTATCTTGTTTGAATAAACCAGCTGCTGAACTCAGAGCTGTTCGCTCTACTAGAACAGACCATATGGATTTTGAGTCCTGCTTGTGTTCGATCAGGTTTAAAATTTAGCATATACTAAAAATGGCTTAATTCCTAGAGTTAAAGTTTCAAGTATATATGCCTTTTAAAAGGAAGATACTGCTTCGCTGGGTGTTCTTATAAGATTGGGTTATTTTGGCTGGTGGCAGGTAAAACGTTTCATAAGAAAAGCAACTTGAATGTCGTTTATCAGAAAAGAAATACCATGCACCTCCAAAACCCCAAAAAACCATTGCTGTTGAGTCGATTCCAACTCATAGCAACCCTATGGGACAGAGCAGAACTGCCCCACAGGGTTTCCAAGGAGCGGCTGGCGGATTCGAACTGCCGACCTTTTGGTTAGCAGCCATCGCTGTTAACCAAAATCACAGCAGTAATCTACCCTGTTTTTACAGCTAGATTGTTCTCTTCCCGCCTCGCCCCACAGCAGTTCCCACACTTTATTAATAATAATATTAATATTATTGCCCTGTGCTCTGCCCGGTCAGGGATGTTTTTCTGTTGCTCCTTGTTGTCTCGTCGGCATTTGTGACTTGGTACATTTGGGGCCGAAGATCCGTGAATCTGAAGACCGTGTCGTATGCTCTTTGTGCATTCTCTTAGTAGAAAAGAAAAAGAAAAGACAGCTGCCCTCAAGTCAACTCCGACTCATGGCGACCCCATGTGTGTCAGAGTAGAACTGTGCTCCATAGGGTTTTCAATAGCTAATATTTGGAAGTAGATTGCCAGGCTTTTCTTCCAAGGAGCCTCGGGGAGAACACAAACCTCCAACCTTTTGGTTAGTAGCCGAGCACATTACCTGTTTGCAGTCATCTAAAGGCATGACCATTATACAGTGTGGGAAGGGCACTAGCATATGTGCAACTAGGGAGCTGTACGTAGGTATCCGCAGAGGAGGTAGGGATGCTTTGTGTATGTTCAGTCATATAAGCTGAGGGTGTCACTATTGCAAATTTGAGGTCTGTGACCCTAAACGGAGTGAGAACACTGGTTTCCCTTAGTAGGCCTCATGTATTTGCCGCATTAAAAAAAAAAAAAAAAATTTTAACTTTATATCAGAATCTTTTTTGATAGAAATTTTCAAGTTTGTTCAATCATTACCTGTAGTCATGTATACTCTTTCCCATCAGCTGTTAGAGTGACCAGCTGTCCCGTTTGCCTAGGACGGAAGAATGTCTCAGGATGGGGGACCTTTAGTGCTAAGATTAGGAAAGCAGGAAGACAGCCAGAGAGGTGAATAAGAATTCCTCATTACCAAGGAATGTGCTGTGTTAGCCTTGTTGCCCTTCATCTGCACTGTATAGATTTTGAGCACAAACAACTTTCAGATTTAGAGGTGAGATTGTTAAAAATCTTTCAGAAGAAAGGAAGAACTGCCCTTAAAACCCTACCCAGATGTAGCTGCATTCACTTTAGGAAGATAACATTGGGTCAGATAAGGGTCGGCCAGTTCAACAATGACAAAAGGCTGGGGCTGTGACAACCTCGGGATCTGGATATGTTGATGTGACAATGGAGAGTTGGCAGAAGTTGAGACATTCCATGCTGAGCCAACTCTACCAAGAAGCCATCAATCTTGGTGGCTAAAGCTGGGGATCAAAACACATTGGAATAGCAAAGTGGTCTCAAAAAATTTATTATCATTTCAAATAGATTGCAATAAATATCCAGATTTGGCAGATGAAGAAAGTTTGTGTGTTCTTTTGGTGCAGACTTGAAATGTTGGCTCATAAATAGGAAAGTGGGTTGGAAAATATAAACTAAGCCAGAGCTGTTAAGAGTGGTTAGGAAATAAGAGCTTTAGAGAAAATAAGAATGCATTCCTGTTTTTTAGGTGCAAGAGGATATGGGCCACTAGAACCAATCTAAAGTTTAGATTTTAAAAAGAGAATAACAATTATCTGTTCCAAGTACTCATGATAAATAGAATGGAAGCAACTGTCTTTCCATCTAATAAGAAGCTCATGGAGGACTTGCTTTAATGAATAGATAATAATTAGCCCTTGAATTATTTATACACAAATGGATAACGTCTGTCATGGTTTGAATTATGTCCCCCAAAAAATGTGTGTATCAATTTGGCCGGGCCATGATTCCTGGTATTGTGTGGTTTTCCTATATGTTGTAAATCCTGCCTCTATGATGTTAATGAGGGAGGATGGGTGGCAGTTTTGTTAGTAAGGCAGGACTCAGTCTACAAGATTGGATTGTATCCTGAGGCAATGTCTTGAGATATAAAAGACAGAACTGAGCAGAGAGATAGGGGGACCTCATACCATCAAGAAAGCGGTGCCGGGAGCAGAGCGCGTCCTCTGGACCGGGGTCCCTGCCCAGAGAAGCTCCTAGTCCAGGGGAACACCGAAGAGAAGAAGGCCAACAGAGAGAAAAAGGCTTCCCCTGGAGCTGATGCCCTGAATTTGGACTTTTAGCCTACTTTGACTGTGAGGAAATAAATTTTTCTTCGTTAAAACCATCCACTTATGGTACTTCTGTTATGGCAGCACTAGGTGACTAAGACAATGTCCCTAAATCTTATTCCTCCTCTAAAGCTATCAAAGAAAGATGTAACATGCAAAAAGAAATTTTAATCTACTCTTCGTTATAGCTCTTTCTCTCCACCCATTCAATCCTTCTTCCTCCTTGTTCCATGTTTTCTCATTCATCCATTCACTCACTCTCACTTATTTACTCATTCAAAAAACATTTATTGAACACCTATTATGTGTCAGGAAATATGCTAAGTGCTGGGAGACTAATAGGACCTGGTCTTGCACTCAGTTGACTTATCCTTGAATGTGTGAGACAATCATCTAAAGACATGACCATTATACAGTGTGGGAAGGGAAATAGCATATGTGCAACTAGGGAGCTATATGTAGGTATCAGCAGAGGAGGTAGGGATGCTTTCTACATGTTCAGTCATATAAACTGAGGGTATCACTTTTGCAAATTTTAGGTCTGTGACCCTGAACAGAGTGAAAACACTGGTTTCTTTAACTAGAGATTATCCCACTGATGCCACCATCTTCTTTCTGAAACTTCTATCAAACACTGGCTGGCGCTTGAGGGGCACTCAGTCTTGGATGAGAAAGAACAACTACTGGATGGAAGATCCACCAGTGAAATAGGAAGGCTAACCAGCTTGGTCAGGGGCCGGGGAGAAGACTCTTCCCTCAAACCAATCAGTGGGACGAGATGTGTGTGAAGGCACCTGGCAAAGGGCTCAGCACACAGGAGAAGCTCTGTAAATATTAGTTACCTTCCTGCCTCTCTCCCTCCTTCTCTCATTCTCACCCTTCCCTACCTCCCAACTTTATGCTAGGCAATTAGGTCACTCTCACTTGAAAGGAGGATGACTGGTTACAATTCATTTAGAAAAATTAAACTCAACTCAAAGTATATTGGTGGAAAACCTTAAGAACCATTTTCCACTGAAAGTGTTCAGTGACAACCTAAGAGAAGCCAGGTTAGTAGACATCCCTTTAGAGAACTATACCAATGTCTGATACAAGCTTCTGAAGGAAGCTGGTGTCAGTGGGATAATGGCTAGTTAAAGAGACGAGCGTTTTGAGTGGTCATCATAAAATAATTTCATTCCTGAAAAGAAGCATTGAATGTAAGAAATGATTGTGAAGAACTGTAGCCAAACTTGACCTGCAAGCCTCTTCTTCCTGAGTAGCACAGTGCTTACAAATGAACGAATGAATGAAAAATGAATGAATAAGTAGGGTATGCATTGTCCAGTGTGTCACAAGCCCCACCTGTCCCTTGTCTTACTACATTTATATGATAGATCCTGAAGAAATGAAAATCATTTGCAGTCCTTGGTGCAGTGGAAAGACCTTGAGCCTGGGAGCTAGGAGGCCTGCATGCACTTTCATTCAGTATCTTTCCTCAGCTAGGATGATTTTATTGCCAAAAAATAGAAGGTCATTTCCTACATCTAGATTCAGTCATTCTAAATTCTATCCGGTAAGAGAAAATTAGATATGTTCATGATACGGTCATAAACCATGCAATACCTTAAAGAAATGTATGTATTAAGCTGCCTTGGCAGGGAACTTCCGTCAAAAGAATGTGTTAAATAACCATGACATGGATTCCAGTCTGGATAACGGATGTCCAAGCTCCAGAACTACCCGTCTTCTCCATCAGCGTACCCTCTGCTGGGCAGGAACACGCCCATAGTGCCCTTTCCCATTTGGGTCACCAGCCTGTGATGTGTTTCAGGTTCCTCGGGGTCTCCTGGCCTGAACGGCTTGCATGGTTTAAAGGGCCAGAAAGGAAGCAAAGGTGCTTCAGGTAAGATGAAACCATTCACAGAAGATTGACCTTCCTCCAGTGAAACTGAGAAAAAGTAGTACCCCCCCCCCCCGATAATTTCTTCACTTTAGGACATTTGGCCAGCTTTGCTAAGAAACTGGCTTAGGTTAGAGACACAGTATTGTAGCAGTTTTCGGTACTGAAGATATATAAGAAGGACATTTGCGAGACACCCATGTAGAAATGAATGGTTGGTTAACAGTGCCTCTTGTTGGTATGCCTTGGGACTGTATTTCTACTAAAAATACTCACTGAATAATTAAGTGGAGCCAGATTTCAAAATATTATGAATGACAAATAGTAGCGGGAATTTTTTGTTTTTGTTGTTTCGTGTGTGTGTGTGTGTATTAAGTGTAATAATGCCAAGTACAACCATGGGGGTCTAATTAGTACTTTTAGTAAAACAAATTACCTGACCACCTTGCTGTTACAAATAGGCCTATCTTCAACAATTGCATTTTAGCTTTTTCCATTATTTTCATGCAATGTACATTTGTTGCATTACTTTCTCAGAAAAAATGGCTCTGTAAAAATGGCCTGGCGGCAGCATCAAATCTCCTCATCTAACTTCTCAAGGTGGGAGAAGAAGCAAGATCAGCATCAACAGCCCAAGGCTGATTGCTATGAGGTGGTCAGACATACCTCTACCCTCCAAACTTTTTACCAGTTTTGACACCCGCCATCCCTCCCACGGCACTCTGTACTTCTCTGCTGGGTTCAATAGTTAAGGGCAATGGCCACACACAACTCACAAACCATACTTACAGTTATAGGGTTTATTAGGGAAGTAAGAGGTTACAAGTGAGGATCAGGAATACTCGGGACACAGTTCTTCGATCAGGAGAGCCTCTTTTCAGTCGTGCCTGCAGGCAGGCTTCTTTCTGGCCCTCAGCCCCTCGACCCCTCGGCCCAGCTTCTGCTCTGCTTCTGCAAGTGTTGCAGTGTTCTTTAGCTCCACCAGTAAGTGCCCAGGGCCACCCCACTCTACCAGTAAGCCTCAGTTCAAAGGCACTCAGCTCTCTTGCTCCATGGGTTGGCACACGCACTGTAACTGCCTTACTCTGTGGGCCGAGAAGCCCCCTGCGCCCAGTGTCTTGCACCAGTCTCCTGGTTCTGCTGCTGCATTTCTCTGCTGCTGCTTCTCACTATCTTTTGCCATCTCCATTGTTGCAGCTCTCTCTGTCTCCTGGGTCTAGGAGGTTCTCAGCACAGGGAGCCTGGGTCCGAAGGACACGCTTTGCTACCATCTCTTCTTCTTGGTAGTGAGGTTCCCCCTCTGCTCTGGGATTGGTTCTCTTTTAAGCCTAAGGGGATGGCAAAACTAACCAATCCCCTCATTAGGGTTCCATACACCTTATTTACATGGTCCTACCCCCACAAGTGTGTCATACACCTTATTTGTATTATTAGCAAGCTGTGCAATCACTTCAGTGGGCCACAAGCACCTTATTTGTCTAATTCCACCCAGTCATTTTGGTGAGAATTACAAGACCATGGCTAGAAAGGCAATATAAAAGTGATCCACTGCACCACAAGCTCATAATCAGACAAGGTAACTGGAATCAGACATGTAGAGTTGAGTGACTGTGGGGAAAAGGTTGAATTGTGTTGCTAAGTTGGAATTTATTGTTAAAGCAGTACAAAATCTTTATACAGTTTGGAAGATGAAGAAATAATTCGGGCCACTTAGGATTCATTTAGTGGCCCTTCATAATAGTCTGATAAAATGTGTGCTTCCTCCAAGAAAGCAATGATGTCCTCTCTTCTTGATGTGAAACTCCACAATAGTTCTAATAATATGCCATTTTCCACCTCAAATTTCAGAGCAGTTTATTCATAATTACTGATTGTTGCATGTCTCTCTCTCTCTTTCTTTTTCATTATATCCATTGTAGAGGTTGGAAGGTTGGTATTGTCACTAAGCTCTTGAGAAATAATCATAAAAGAAATCAACACTGTGGTTGACCAGTTGACTGGTATGGTATGATGAGTCATAAGACAGTGAATAGTGACCCAGCAATGCTAGACAGCTATTTAGGCCACCATTGCAGTCAGCAGTTGGTGTCAGCGGAACTAGCTGCTTACCTGTCACACTCCTGTTGGGAAGCAGTTGTTTTCCAGGCTCAATACGCTGACAAAGAGAAGATGCAACATTAATGCTGTTTTCCCTATTAAGGTTTGCATGAAATAGGCCCACCAGGTCCAGTGGGAATGCCTGGACTGAAAGGGGAGACAGGAGACCCTGGGAGTCCAGGAATTTCTCCTCCAGGACTTTTTGGAGAAAAAGGTCCTCCAGGTCCCCCAGGTAAGAGGCAACTTGCTTTGCCCCTCTCTCAATAATGAAATCAAAAGTTTCCAAATGTCATGAGGCTAACATCTGAACATGTCCCTCCTCAGGGAGACCAGGACCACCTGGTCCTGCAGGTGCCCCAGGAAGAGCTCCTAAGGGTGACATTCCTGACCCGGGTCCACCTGGAGATCAGGGGCCTCCCGGTCCTGATGGTCTAAGAGGTATGAGAAAATCACAGCAACGTTCCTTTTGTTAGATGCTGCTGGCTCTATGGGATGTAGGACCAGATAATGGCAGAGGAGAAGCACCTTAGCGGCTCCATTAGTTTGACAGACAGAAAAGTGAGACCCAGTTTGGGATTGGGGATATGGGCAGTGGTGGGCTCTTGGGACCACATCCAGATGAGAATTCAGGCCCCCTCACTTTTCTGTTTCAACTCTGCCTGACCCCTCTGTACGGGTACAAGGGCAAGAATTTCCCATCGCCAGCTTGATGCTGACCATGAGAACCCAGAAATGGCCAGCAAGAGAGAACCCCACCCTGCTTGTCTCTAGCACCTGCCACGTAAGCCACTGCTGCTGGCTCAGAGTGAAGGTCCGGGCTTTTTGTACGCGGCAGAGACAGAAAGCAGAGTGTCTTCCTGGGCGCCAGTGGTACATCTTGTTCCTCTCATCACCTCACAGAGATGAACTCTGGCAGGGGAATATTTTGGAAATAATCACTAAGCTAATAACGTAGGGCTGGACTAGAGCTAGAGCCCTAACCAAAGGGTTGGCAGTTCAAATCCACCAGCTGTTACTTGGAAATCCTATGGGGCAGTTCTACTATGGCCTGTAGGGTTGCTATGAGTCAGAATCGACTCGATGGCAACGGATTTGGTTTTTGGTTTGGACTAGAGCTGGTTTGGGAGTTGGGAGAAAAGTATGGCCCAGTGCAGTGTCTTGCTAATCACAGACAGTCACGTTCATGTAAGCTCATTACTGAACTTTTTTATAGAGACACAAACCTCCTGTCTTTGAATCTTTAGAATTTTAGTAAGGGTGGCATAAAATATTATATAATTCTATTTTTTACTGAGAAAAATAAAAGCACTCAAAACTGTGCTAAGAAGTACAGATGCTAAATAGAAATAGAATTTGGGCTTATTGCATTCCTACATATAGATACTTGTTTTCAAGTTTGATTATAATTTTAATAGGGTGAACATTCCTTTCCTATCAGCCATTTTTCCTCAAAAGCCTTTCCCCACCTTTACCTTCCCCCTTCCTCTCTCTCTCCCTCCCTTTCTGTGTATCATATATGTATAAATACTGAATATATATGCGTATATATATATGTGTGTGTGTGTGTGTGTGTGTGTGTGTGTGTGTGTGTGTATATATATGTATGTATGTATATGGAGCCCTTGTGGCGAAGTGGTTTTAAGAGCTCCAGCTGCTAACCAAAAGGTCGGCAGTTCGAATCCACCAGCCACTCCTTGGAAACCCTATGGGGCAGTTCCACTCTGTCCTGTAGGGTCGCTGTGAGTCAGAATTGACTTGACGGCACACAACAACAACAACAACATGTATATATATATGCATCTATTTTGTATTAAAAGAGTGGATGGACATGCCAATAAAAATCATGAACTAATGCTCCCAAAAGGAATGGCTGTGAAGGGAATGAAGCCTTAAGTCCATTTTGTCTAAAAAGTACTAACCCACTGTTGACACCATTTCTCAACTTGGGCTCCATGAGACACACTCTCTGCTTCACTTCTCGTAACTATTGACTTATTCTAGTTCTCACCATCCCTTGCTCGTAAACAACTAAATTCCTTTTCTTAAGAAGCTCACTGGCATTGGTGTCTGAACTTGTCTTTGACTAAAAGAATCTTTTTGCCTCTTCCCTGTGGTCAGGCGCACCAGGGCCTCCAGGTGCCCCTGGGAGGGTTGACCTCCTGAGAGGGGAGCCAGGTGACTGTGGCCTTCCAGGGCCACCAGGTCCCCCAGGCCCACCAGGCCCTCCAGGATGCAAAGGTTTCCCAGGATGCAATGGAAATGACGGCCAGAAAGGTATGAATATGAGTTGCTCCTCAAGGAGTATATGAGGAGTTTCATTATTTTGCCCTTGTAGGTCTGGGTTACTGCACCGTGAAGTAATTTTTATTTCATATAGAAACAGTTACAACATTTCCAAATTGTCCTGACTCTCCCAAAAAGTCCTAAAATTTGGGTAAAAGTTGGATAGGTAAAAGGAAGAAACACAAGTTCATTGTTAGACCCTAATAACACTCTTGATAGTCTTCTAGACCAGAGCGGAACAATAGAAATATAGTGGAAGCTGCACGTGTAATTTTGGTAGAGAGTCAGCAAAAAAGAAGAAGACCCTCCATGAGATGGATTGACACAGTGGCTGTAAGAGTGGGCTCAAGCATAACGATGATTGTGAGCATGGGGCAGGACCGGGCAGGGTTTCGTTCTGTGGTGCACAGGGTCGCTATGAGTCGGAACTGACTCGACGGCACCTCACAACAACAACGTGTGTAATTTACATTTTTAGAAGCCACATTTAAAAAAGTAAAAAGAAACAAGTGAAATTACCTTCCCTACTTATTTTATTTAACATAATATATTCAAAATATTATTTTAACGTATAATCAAAATAGATCAATGAGAGGGCTGGTTGTACAAACCTAGTTTCTCTCCCAAAGAAGATACTCTTCCTCCCAACTTCTGAAATTGATGCGTATTTTATACTTAGAGTTCAACTCAGTTGGGACTGGCCACATCTCAAGTCGTCCATCACCACATGTGGCTAGTGCCTCTGTATGGGACAGCTCAGTTCCAGACTGCTGACTTTGCGTTTTTATATTCACAGAAGGGTCCCCATTACTGATTTTTTTCCCTACTATTTAAAGCTGAGATATTTATTTTAATTAATCAGTACCTAACTGCTAATAGGTGGGGACATTAGTTTTTGGTCATCAGAATTTCAGAGAATTATTGGGATCATAAAACTTTGTGTGTGTGTGAAAGGGACCGATAATAATTATCCAGCTCTCTTATTTAGTAAATAAGGATGCTGGATATCAGAGAAGTGACTGTTGAAGTTTGCAGAAGCCCTGTAACTAGTACCCTGTCTGACTTCTGAGCCAAATGTGAAATAAGGCCAAAGATTAGAGGAGAGGGACATCAAAATCTCGTTGACTACAGCGCAAATGGCATCCTTGGAATTGTGAAATGCACATGTACACAGTACACAGCAGCCCTCTTCACCTTTATTAGCACTAAAATCAATTTTAGAGAATGTGGCTTATGTCTGCAGGTATGTGGGCTTCCTATTATTGAATCACAGAATTAGACAGACCAGCTAACACTCTTAGTCACCAAGAGGAAGGAGGAAGGTGCTGGTTGTGCAACCTAGTTCCTCTTCCCAAAAAAGACACCCTTCCTCCCCAGGTGTTACTCTAGAGAGCCACCCTACACCTGGACATAAACCTCAGGTGTAGGGACATATTATGCCATGAAAATAACAGTGACCTACCCAAAGGCATACAGGAAGTTAGAAATATTGATGGAATTGCTAGTCACATTTCTTCACTCCCAGTCCGGGGGGCATAAGGGCCAAATGGCACTTTACTGTGCAGAAGATGAGGACGTTTCAGCAGTCTGCCTTTTGAGATTTACACAGTGGGAGAATATTACCTATTTCACAGATAATTTATTAGGCACCTACAGGGCTATAGTGTTGTTGTTGCTGGATCCCACTGAGTCTGTTAGAACTCATGGTGACCCCATGTGTGCAGAGTAGAACTGCTCCACAGGGTTTTCAGACTGACCTTTCCAAAGCAGATGGCCAGACCTGTGTTTGGAGGTGCCTCTCTCTGGGTGGGTTCGAACAGCCAGTTTTTTGGCTAGTATTCAAGCACTTTACTGTTTGCACCACACAGGGACTCCTCAGGAATATGGTAGTGAACAAATTTATACAGCGATCCCTCTCTAATTAAGCATACATTTTATGTGGGAAGATAGATACTCACACTAGAAGATACATCAGTACAAACTAGGATGTGTGCTCTGAGTGAAGGGACCTGCTTCTATGTGAGCTTATCAGAAAGCACCAGGGCTTTGGTTGGGATTTCAGGGAGGGCTTCCCTGAGGAAGTGAGGCTGGGTCTGAACTCTAAAGAATGAGAAAGACTTAATGGATGGGGAAGAAGAGAGGAACAGCGTTAGCGATGAACTGAATGGCTGGGGAGAATGAAACTAAGAGACTGGTATAAACTCAGGACTGGGGAGGGGACAGTTTATCCCCACATAATTGAAGCATCTTTCCTTATTTCCTCTTTAGTTTCAGTTCCAGTTCTTTGAATGTCTGCAGAGAAAGTTCAGGATTATAAGGCTTTTCATTCTAGTTTAGTTTAGCTTTGACCATGGACCCATTTTCCTTAGTCCTTTGTAGTGATCATTGTGTTTCCTTCAGGCAGAGGCAGCTCTTATAGCTATAGAAACCAGACCAAAAAAACCTCCTCTATAGCTCGTAGTGGTTAAGTGCTATGGCTGCTAACCAAAAGGTGGGCAGTTCTAACCCACCAGGCGCTCCTTGGAAACTCTATGGGGCAGTTATACTCTATCCTATAGGGTTGCTGTGAGTTGGAATTGACTAGATGACAATGGGTTTGGTTTTTTTGTTTTTTTATAGCTCTATAGCCTTATAGAAAGAAGAGAAAGACTAATCTAGACTCTAAGGCTGAATTTGCCCTGCAGTTTTGTTGGGACGAATCTCTGAATTCAGTCAATAAAACTGGTCATTGTCTTTCTATTGCTTCATTTCAAGTGCCCTCATTTTTACACATTCCTTTTAGGACCAATGGGATTCCCAGGGCCACAAGGACCCCATGGATTTCCTGGGCCACCTGGAGAAAAGGGTTTACCTGGACCTCCAGGTCAACAAGGACCCCCTGGTCCTCCAGGTAAGCTCCTAATACTCAATTATTTCCCCCAAGCAACCCACGCACAGCGTTTTGCAAAAACATTTACTGTACCAGTCATCTTTCAAAAAGTAGTTAATTATGCTGAAATTACCAGCACATTTATGAGTTTACCACTTTTCTATATAAAGAGTATATTTATTTCAAGTTGCACTATAAAATGTCATGCTCAGTAAACTGATATTTATTATCAGCATGAGTAAATATTGAAAATTAGGAGGTGATTTTACATATGCTATTTCTAAGGTAGATAAATACGTATGTATTCCCTCAAGCAAGAGGCAAAGAATGATTTTATTATTGTATGTTAGGATTGTATATTTGATTCATGTCCCTGAATTCCCGTTGATTATTCTAGATGTTTTATTTAACTTTTTCTGTAAAGTACGTTAGTTCCTATGAAGGTCAAAGGCTACTCCATTTAAACTCTATAGATAACACTTCAATCATAGGGTCAAAATAAGCCAGGGCAGGGTTGGGAAGAGGAAGGGCAAACAGAAATGTACATTTGAGATTAGCAGAAGTAATACCTTTCAAGATGCTAAATCAATATTATGGTAATGTGGTATCAGTTCCGAATACTTTGCTGTCTCTTGATTAGCACTCTGTGCAAAGAACAAATAGACTGCACTGTCTTATGATGGATTATAGTACTACAGTACTATAGGATCACAGGCTTAGACTGTGATGCATTTTAGATTTCCCTTCTGTGCATAACCTATAAAACTTGCGAAATTGATAAGAAATTTTTAGAAGCCTTCAAATGGACAGAATTTTTATGTCCACTAAATTAGGGCATATTTGCCGCAGGAAATCAACTGAAATTTTATATTGCGCAAGAGAATTTTATTGCATCTCTTTCTAGCTATGAAAACTCCATTACTAAATCTGAGCTCTTGCTGTCAGTGGCATTGATGTGGACTTCTTATGTAAATAAGATGCTGCTATTTGGCTTGTCATTGATGCAGTCCTAATAACATGTTCTACAATCTATTTCACTTTTGTCCTAATTCACGAATTTAAAATCTCTCTCTACCATATGAAAATCGTCGCGTGGCCTGATTTTTTGGCTTTGGATCTCTCCAGGTTCCAGGGGTAAGCATTGCTATAAAATTGATACTTTCCCCTAAATATGGTTTCCAGTCATTTCCATACTCGCCTGTCCACTGTATTTGTGAGTTAAACATTGTTACATTTTTAGAGATGAGTTTCTGTAATTATCTTAGGTTTTAATGCCTTTGCTTCCTAGTTAAAGATATAGTAACCTTATATTAGAGTGTCCAGATCTGAGCCTCATTACAGGTTGTGGGGACGGTGTAGAGACTCGGCTTACATAATTTCAGTTCAGGCGTGAAATATGAGTGCTTTCTCTGTCAAATGCTGCTGAACATACCCACTGGAGTTCCTTTTATAAATTCTACAGTGTAAATACACAGAACATCCCTGAAATAAGTAGTTTCAGCAACATGAAAAAAATGGGCCCTTAACACCCAAAAGGAAACCATGGTGGTGTAGTGGTTAAATGCTACAGCTGCTAACCAGAAGGTTGGCAGTTTGAATCCACTAAGTGCTCCTTGGAAACTCTATGGAGCAGTTCCACTCTGTCCTATAGGGTCGCTATAAATCGGAACCGACTCGATGGCAACGGGAACACCCAAGAAGGGGCCATAATCACCATTTAGTTCACTTTCAAGGAGAAGATTTCTTTGTGTGTTCAAAAGAAAATGCTATTATTCTTTCAACTTTGTCCACGTAATCCTCTATGATGCAAAAGCAACGTATTATTTTGTATCCAGCATTTTCAAAGAGAATAGAAGGAGTTTTTCAAAAGAAAAACTGTGAATGCCTGCATTTGTTCTTACCAGACATGTCATTAAGTCCAATGAAAAGTGCCCTGAATATAGACCCCATATACTATTTCCAGGACTCTAGGAAGAGACACCTCACCCCTTTCTGTCAGCTTCTGGTTTAATAAAAAGTAAAGAAAAGCAAAATCAGAATTTTAAAAATTGTGCTCTTTTAAGTGTTTGTATTTAAAAATTAAAATTGTATATTGAATGAGTTTGCATTTCAAGCCTTCTCGTGTGTCTCTGTGTTCTGTAACTGTACAGTGTATACTTACTGTAAGTATAAACTCATTTGGAGATAACATCAAAACTCTAAATATGAAGCCTCAATCAAATTCCTTTCTCTCCTACCTTTCCCCTCCTTCCCCTACCCCACCATTCTGCCATGAAAGGCCCAGATCATTTCAGGGAAGACAGAAAATGTTCGCATGCAGCTCTCTCAAATCAACCACAGTGGATTTTCCATTAAACTGTCTGTACTGTAAAAATATATGTGGCCCTGTGTTGCTTATGGTTTTATACCATATTTCACAAGGGGTTAAATTCCAAACAGCTTGTAGAGTTCAAGTCCATTTTGCATGGGCATATTAAGTAGTACATAGACTAAAACATGGTCATTGTGGTCACATTTTTCTAGTATTTTCTTGCTGCTTTATCTTTATTCTTAAGATTGTTTTGCACATTTGTATGAATTTTAAGAAAACCATAACTATTCAAATGGTGTGTTTTAAAATATGTTCCATTTCTTAGAATTCATCCCACAGACATTAAGAATTTTTGAGGTGGTGTCGTGTGGTGTTTAAGGGCATACATTTGGAGCCAGACTGTCCTGGGTTTTAATCTGGACTCTGATATGTGTTAGCTGTGTGACCTTGGATAAGTCACTTATTTATCTGAGCCTCATTTTTCTCATCTGTAACATTCCAATAATAACAGCATATAGGCAGGCTTGTTGGAAGGATTTAATAGTAAAGCACTTAGCACAGGATCTGATACATGTTAAAGCATGTACTGTTATTGTTGTGTTGCTAGCTACTACCATTGAGTCAGCCCCAGACTCATGGCGACGCCATATGTTACAGAGTAGAAGTGCTCCATAGGGATTTCCTGGCTATAATCTTTACGGAAGCAGTTTGCCAGGCCTTTCTTCCATAGAAGGAGCCCTTGTGGCTCAATGGTTAAAGCCTTGGCTGCTAATCTAAAGGTCGGCAGTTCTAATATACCAGCCACTCTGTGAGAGAAAGACGTGGCAGTCTGCTTCAGCAAAGATCACAGGCTTAGAAGCCCTATGAGGGAGTTCTACTCCGTCCTATAGAGTCGTTATGGGTTGGAATCCACCCAACGGCAATGGGTTTCCTTCCACGGAGCCGCTGGATGGGTTTGAAATGCCAACCTTCAAGTTCTCAGCCAATTGCAAACTGCTTGTGCTACCCAGGCTTCTTAATAAGTGTTAGCTGTTATTATTATTACTTAGTTGATAACCCTTGTGGAATGTTTGCAAGGCAACTGAATGGAGCTTGAGAAACAAAGTCTCCAAGATGTGAACATAAGTAAGAAGAAAAAGATTTCTAACCTTTAGAACAGTGGTTCTCAAAGCGAGGTTCCCCAGATCAACACCCTCAGCCTAACCTGGGACCTGGTTGGAAATGCAGATGTTGGGCCCCACCCATGACCTACTGACTCAAACTCTGGGGGTAGGGCCCAGGAATCTGCACTCTAACAAGCCAGCCAGATGATTCTGATGCATTAATGTTTGAGAACTATAGCTTTTCAGCAGTCCTTCTCAACCCTGGCTGACAGTGGAATCCCCTAGGAAGTTTTAAAAAAATACCGATGCCCGAGTCCCACCCTCCGAGTTTTCAGTTTAATAAGTGGGAGTAGTGTCTGTGCAGCCATACTCTTGAAAAGCTCTCCAGCTGATTTTTTTTTTTTTTTTTGTGCAGCCAAGGTTGAGGGCACTGCCCAGGCTAAATCTTATACCAACTAACCCAGAATCTCTGGGGGTGGGGCCCAGGCATCAGTATATTTGTACAATATCCCAGGATGTCTCCAGCATGCACTCAAGGTTGAGAACCACTGCTTTAGAACCTCTCCCAGTTGTCATGGGTTGATTCCAACTCATGCTTTTAGCAATCCTGAAATTCCATCTATTTGAGTAATCGACACTGTGGAAACCCAGCTGACTGCCGTGTAGAGTCATGACTTAGGGAGACATTAGTGAGCTTCAGAGACCCACCAGTCCTTCATCAGTGCCACCTGTGGCTGGCATCCCAGCAAAAAGTGGCCCAAAGTTTGGAAATCTTGTGAAGGTCACCACAATTATTGTTTTGCTTCTCCTGATATTTCATTCATTCATTCATGTATTCAACAATGCTTTCTGGAAATGCACCATGTACTTCCTGGTGAATAAGACAAAATCGCTGCCCTCATGGAGCTTTACATTGAATTGAAGAACCTTTTTGTTAAAATGCAGCATAATGTCAGAAGTCCACCCTTAACTTGAGAATGCAGAAAGTGCTTGTTCAAAAGCATTTGAATTCATCACCAGCTGTGATTCCGATTTCAGGTGAACCTGGGCCACCTGCAGATGCAGATGCCTGCCCTCGAATCCCAGGACTTCCTGGGGTGCCAGGCCCAAGAGGACCAGAAGGAGCCATGGGGGTCCCCGGAACAAGAGGTCCCCCAGGACCAGGTACGAGTCTCACTCTGATTGTTTGTTATTTACATCATATAATATGGAGACCTGGTGGCACAGTGGTTAAGAGCTTGGCAGCTAAACCAGAAGGTCAACAGTTCAAATCCACTAGGCGGTCCTTGGAAGCCCTGTGTGGAAGTTCTGCTCTGTCCTGTAAGGTTGCTATGAGTCAGAATCAACTCAACGGCAATGGGTTTTTTTTTGTGGGGGGATATTGCTGAAATAAAAATCTCTGCATTTTTTTGTGTGAATCCTAAAAAACTAGTGAGGATGAAACAATGAACGTTTCCTTCACCTTATACATTTTTTCCTACGTTGATTCAAAGGTTTAATCATGTTCTAAGTGGATGGAACACATCCCTTCTATTTTCATGTCAGACTCCTTCTTAGATCTTTTATACTTGGCCAGCTTTTATAGGTGGGACTTTGTGACTGCTAGCCAAAAGTTTAGGAGCCCTGGCGGTGCAGGGGTTAATTGCTCAGCTGCTAACTAAAAGGCAGTTTGAACCCACCAGCCACTCCATGGGAGAAAGATGTAGCAGTCTGCTTCCATAACGATTACAGCCTAGGAAACCCTTTGGGGCAGTTCTACTCTGTCCATGGAGTCACAGTGAGTCAGAGTCTCATTCAACAGCAATGAGTGAGCCAAAAGGTTGGCAGTTGGAACTCACCCAGGGGTGCCTCGCAAGACAGGCCTGGCAATCTGCTTCTGAAACGTCCCAGCCTTGGAAACCATATAGAGCAGTTCTACTCTGCACGCGTGGGGTTGCCATGAGTTGGAATCAACTCGACAGCAACTTACAACAACAAGAGCACAACCAGGTAGAGGCTTATTTATTAATAGTCACTGATAGCTGCTTTCTTGATTTTGAATTAAAAAACAGTTGGTTTGGGGCTTGGCTGTACAGAAGTGGAGCCTACAGGGAGAGAGAAAGAGATGTACCTCTGAGAAGAGGGATAGGAAAAAGGAGAGGGTCACTCCAAATTTTGGCAATGGCTACATTATTCACTTAATTGACCTGAGAATTGTCCTGTCATTGTCAGATTATCAGGATTCCTATTGAAGTAGTTAAACTAAACCATTCTTTAAGAAGTGTCCTCCAGGTGGTTTATTGTTTGGCTAGTTTACAGAGAGGTCACGGAGTCTGGGGCTGGTAATCCAGAGGTTACTATTCTATTCAGACCAGTTGGCACTCTGATGCCTGTGTGCACACTATCCAAAGAGCAGTGAGGCCATTCCCAACCCCACTCCTCCCACATCCAGCTCTGACTTTTCCTCTTTGGGGTTCAAGGCCAAAGAACTTGGAAGTAGAACTGAATTTTGCACCACCTCTTTTTCTCATGTTTCCCCAGACCCAAGCAGCTAAGGACCCAAGAGATGGCCCCTCAGCTGGAGTCTGCATGGTTCTTTGGTAGTGTCTAAAACTTCCTCAAATGAATATGGGTTTTATTGTTGTTGATTTTATTTGCTGCATGGCATCTATGTTTGTGCACAGAGTTAACTGGGTGTCGGTTGTAGAGACTTAACAACCACGAGCACTGGGAATTAAGACCTTAGTTACTTAACTTCTCTTTTCTTTGGCACTTAATTGCATGGAAAAAAGCTCTCAGTTGGTCGTTGTAACTGGTGTCTCAACTTCAGTTTAAAACCAGGCTGCCTTGTTGTGTGATATTTATTCCTTAAAACAAGTTCCTAATAAGAACCAGTCCACATAAAGGCAGGCGCTGGGCAAACAACTGCAGTTAACAAGAAACCTCCTTCCTGTCTCTCGGGAAACGTCATCAGCATGACAGTTTCTCTGTGTCTTCCCCTAAAGAGAACAAAGCTTACATTTTCACATCTGGTGTGGGAACTCTTTCCCCAGATTGACAATGATCTCACCACACATCTATACAACAAGGGAATGCCTGGTTCCTTTTTAATAAAAAGAGGAAACTCATACAAACCCTTTGGCTTGTCAGCACTCGGGCACAGGGACCACATATTGGTATCATCTGGTCGGGACGGAAAAAGGAGTACTCTCAGCTCATAGTCAGGGCCCTGTATCCTTCCTGAAAGGGCTGATATCCTCTTTGAAGTTGATGGAGAGATGCTCTGACTTGTACACAGCAGTGTCACCTAGAAAGAGGAGGTCTTTCCCTGGTTACTAGAAAGGAGAAGAGCTCCTCTTTCCCACACAGGCAGAAGGAGGTGTTTCTTTTCTTGTTGTTGGGTGCTGTTGAGTCGATTCCAACTCATAGAGACTCCACGTGACAGAGTAGAGCTTCCCGATAGGATTTTCTTGACTGTAATCTCTACAAGAGCAGATTGCCACGTCTTTCTTCCACAGAGCTGCTGGGCAGGTTTGAACTGCCAACCTTTCAGTTAGCCTCCAAGTGCTTCACCATTGGGCCACCAATGGTAATGATGTACAGAACACAGCCCAGGCACAGTGGGCATTCCACAAGGGTGGGCTTATAACCCAAGGGGCATGAAAGCATGAAGATAGCACTTGAATGCCAGGAACATCCACACTGACCACAGCTCAACCAGCATGGAGCTTACATTGAGTGACTGGCTGGTTGTGGGTGACGGAAGAAGGGAGGTTAGTGTAGGAAACTCTTAGGCAGGTGATATTACCAGCTGTCGTTGAGTGGACCCCAACTCATGGTAACCCCATACGTGTCAGAGTAGAACCGTGCTCCATAAAGTTTTCAATGGCTGATTTTTCGGAAGTAAACCTGTAGGCCTTTATTCTGAGGTGCCTGTAGGTGGACTTGAACCTGCAACGTTTTGGTTAGCAGCTGAGCGCATTAAATGTTTGCACCACCTAGGGACTCCCAGGTGATACTGGAACAGAATTTTAAATGCAGGAAGTTTAAAGCATGCATTTTAGATGGTTAGGAATTCACTCCGTGACCCCTCTGAGCCGCATTTTTCCATCAGTAGAACTGGAATGTAAGAGTACTTAGTCTTATTAGGGCCGCTGTGAAACCTGAATTGGAAAATCAGCAGAAAGGGATTAGCACAGTGCCTAACACATTGCAAATGCTAAGCCATGAGTCACAATCAGCTCAACTTGGCAGCCTACAACAATCAAAAATCAAATAAATTTAAAAGCTTTTTTTTTTTTTAAGCTGCCCTTATCTTGCTGCCAATTTAACTGCCACCATCTGAATGCTATTAAATTTAATTCATTCCTCCACCCAGGCTTTTAAAAAAATCACTATTGTTAAGGATAATGTTTAATTATAATAGCCATACATGTTCAGTGTAAAAAAACAAAAGTCAAATACATAAGAATATAAAGGAAATGTATAAACCTCTCTCTTAGCACCTCCTTGGACTGGCTTCAAATCCTAGCTCTGTCCTTTCCCAGCTCGTTGACCCTGAGCAAGTACTTGACCTCTCAGAGCCTCAGTTACCTTAGCTGCGGAGTGGAGATGGGATAATCCCAAACCCGTGAAGATGGGAGGACCAGATGGGCGGTACAGTGCAGACTAGGTGCAAAGACCAGTGCTGGCCCGGCATGTACATGCAGTAACTGCTAGCAGGTGTCATGAACTTCCCTGCAGAGTGCAAAGGAGAGCCCGGGCTGGATGGCAGGAGGGGCGAGCCTGGCATTCCTGGGGCACCTGGGCCTCCAGGAAGCAAGGGTGACACAGGAGAAGCTGGCTGCCCTGGAGCACCAGGTAAGGATGTTTAGTTTCCCCTCTTTTCTCTGACTCTGTTGACCCAAGAACTGTATACAAGACCCCTAACTTCACAAGCAGCTTTCCAAACTGGATCCTATTAAAAGCATTGATCTTAGATTGCAACTCCCCTGATATTAGGGAGACAGATGCAAACAAGGACAGAATGGGATGCACCCCCGTGTTCTAACAGATGCTAAACCTGTTACCATCAAGTTGATTCCGATTCAGAGTGACCCTATAGGACAGAGTAGAACTGCGCCGTAGAGTTCCCAAGACTGTAATCTTCATGGAAGCAGACTGCCACATCTTTCTCCTGCAGAGCAGCTTGTGGATTCGAATCGCTGACCTTTTGGTTAGCAGCCCAGTGTTCAACCACTGCGCCACCAGGGCTCCTTAATGGATACCAAACCACCATAAAACCTTAGTTCCCTGTATCCAGTATTTTCCCAAACCACTATATATTACCACAAAAGGCTCAGTCATTTCAGCTGCTCATTTCTACAAGGTAATGAAGGGTTTGCCATTTGTGTGTGATCTTTGAGAGGCTGTGCTGAAGATCTTGGGGAAGGTGGTATGTTCTCACTCCCTACAACTGGTCAAACCACCGGGCTTCTAGTTTTCTGAGTTCACTTTATCTTATCATACAACTGTCTATAAATTCATACAGACCACAGTACCCTTTCTTGAGGAAAAAAAAGGGATGGGGAAGAGTATGGGAGCTGGATGGGGGTTGGGTAGGGAGACATGGCTCTTCAGAATAGAAATTTGAACTATTATGCAACAGGCAGTTTGTTAGGCACTGGGGACCCAAAGACCCCAAGACACAGTCTCACTCTCAGAGTGTCTCTGGCAAGGACTGCAAACTCTAATACTGTCTTAGTAATGAGTAGGGGTGAATAGGGCTGGGTGGGGCTTGTGGCAGAATGGAGCCTGCAGTCTAAAGGCTACAAGGAAGCAGCTGCAACTCAGCTTCAGCCAATTGTTGCCATGTAGGGACATGGACCCAGTGGTGCCTACACTCTGCCTTTTGAGTTCAGAATCTCAACGTGTGAAATCTGGACAGGTTGAACAAAACAAATGAGCAGGCCCGATTCAGTCCACAGGCTACTGCTACTGTGTAACCTCTAATTTACAGCATTGATGGGGAGGGCCTGCCAGTCTTCCAGAAATAAGTTTACAAAAACCCTTTGGTTTCAAAGTCTAACTTCACCTTTTGTTCTTGGCACTTGGAAATAACCACTGGCCTTCTCCAAAAAGTCAGCCCTTAGGCAGGCCAGAGAAGACAGACCCTGCCTGCATTCTGTAGAACTGTTCATTTCCCAGCTGCCAACCAAAATTCTAGAACTAGGTCTTCCTCTTACCTCCCTTCCCTAAAAAAGAAAAGATCCAAAGTGGTTCCCAAGCCATAGCCCTTAGAAGAGAACCAACAGTGTGTTGGGCCCATGAGTGTCTGGGAGGTGTAAGCAAGGCTGACTTTTAAGAATCACCTTCTCGGATGGGCAGTCTCCCAGTCCAGTCTCAGGAGCTCAGGAGATGGCATGTGGGGTGCATTATCACCACATTCTAGTTCTTTTCTTCTCAACCCTTATCACTTTCTAACTTGTTTCATAATTTACATTTTTACTATGCTTATTGCTTGTCACTTCTTTTCTTTAAGTAGAATGTAAGTTCCATGATTTGTCTGTTTTCTATTGTTACGCTAATGGATCCCAAGCACCTTAAAGTTGCTTAGAAAAAATACTTGCTGAAGGGGCTGGGTTTGTATACCTGCGATTGTGGGAGGCAGACTTTCCTGGGGTGTGGTTGTGACGTCCTCATCTTTGTTCCCTGAGTGTTTACACAGTGCTAGAACAGAAGTGCATGGAAATGTTTGCTATGCTGAACCCCCTAAAACTGCCTTCGCTGTTTTCTTTATTCTATCAGGCCCTCCTGGTCCTGTTGGCGATCCTGGGCCCAAAGGGTTTGGACTTGGATATCTCAGCGGCTTCCTCCTGGTTCTCCACAGTCAGACAGATCAAGAACCCTCCTGCCCAGTGGGTATGCCCAAGCTCTGGACAGGGTATAGTCTGTTATACCTGGAAGGACAAGAGAAAGCTCACAATCAGGATCTTGGTACGTGTATATCATGCAATCACCTAAATCCATTACTTTAAGAGTTAAACTTTTGAGTTAATTTTATGGATTCATCAACATCTTAAATGATCACTAATCTTATACGGGATTTTTTTTTAAACTACCATGCTAAAATGATATGACAGTGTCAATTCTATTAAACCTATGGCCTTATGATTTGATTATTGTTAGTTTTTTTAAAAATGAGTCTTCCTCAGGAAGTTAAATATAACTATGATGTAAAATGCAGTTTTTTACTTCCAAATGTGAAGTATTTAATCAGGATGTGGTCAGTTGCTGTGTTTAAATCAACAGCACGTTGATACTTATATGGGGTGGCACTTGCCAGGAGTAGCTCCCCATCCTATTCCACATTTGCTTTCAAATTATAGAAATTTCTCTTGAGAGTTAGGCCTTGGTACTCTTTGTCAGTTCTCGGCAGTAGATTTGTAAGCCACGTGGACTGATTACAAGCCAAGAGTTTAAATGCCTGGGTGCTGGCAGATGCTGTCTTTCCGTGCTAATGGTGGTAAGGATGGTTGGGGTGGTAGGCCAGGAAGGATAGGCCAGTATGATGGTTGAGGGGTGAGGTGAGTCTTATCACTGCTCTTATTGGGCCATGATCCCTGCTGGGAGTAAGGTGGCCAAAGAGGGCAGGTCAAGGGGTGGCAGTTATTCACATGTCCTTCACTGCTTCTCCCTTGGGTTCAGCTGTGGCCTTTCCCCTCATGGTGGCCTAGTTTTTTGGCACATGGGGGAAAGGAAGAAGCGGCATTTACTGTCCTGAGTCTGCCTACGTCTCTCCTCCTCTTCCTTCTGCCATCAGCTTCTTTCCTGCCTGGTCTCTGTACAACCATCTTGCTTCTCCTGCCCTGGTCTAGCCAGAGTGCACATCTTAAAGTTCTGCAGGGCTCTTGGGATAAAATCCAAACTCCGGAACGCAATTGACAAAGCCTGCATCCCCTGGCCTGATTTCTTTCTGGAGTCCCCTGAGACAGACAGACACACACACATCTCCTCCCAACTGAACTTCCTTGGGTCTTTGAGTTCATGCTCCCTTATCTCTGGCTGTCTCTACTACCGTATTGTCTGTGTCACTGCCACCATCTCCAAACCTGCCCAGGTCCTGCTCATATTTCAGGTCCTAGCTTAAAATCACTTTTTTCAGTTAAAAAAAAAAAAAAGCACAAAAGACAGTTGCTGTGGAATAGATTCTGACTCATGGCGACCCCATGTGTGTCAGAATAGAACTATGCTCCATAGAGTCTTCTCTGGCTGATTTTTTGGAAGTAGATCATGGAGCCTTTCTTCTGAGGCACCCCTGGGCGAACCTTTCAGTTGGCAGCTGAGCGCCTTAACCATTTGCACCGCCCAGGGACATCCAGTTAGCTGCCCCTTAACTCCTGGTACCCCATACTTCGGCCATTCATTGGGCTTGTCACACTGTATTTCCACTACATGTTTACTCATGTATCTCCCCCACTAGGCCATAAGCTTGTGCTCACTGTTTTGTCTCTGTTATCTGGCACATTGCTTTGCACATGAGGAAGTGATGAGTGGATGGGTGGATGAGGGTTGGTTTACAGCAGCAGGGAGGTGGCAGAGATACTCAGATGCATACGCTGGTTTCACCACCCACAGAGGTAGGATTTGGCAATGGCCTGAAAACACTAAAATGTGTATCTGTGAATTCATGTGTAGAGAGGTCACCACATATTCCACCTATTGGCTGTTCTTCCTTTCCAAGGTCTGGCAGGGTCTTGCCTCCCCATGTTTAGCACACTGCCCTTTGCCTACTGCAACACCCACCAAGTGTGCCACTATGCCCAGAGGAATGACAAATCCTACTGGCTGGCCAGCGCTGCCCCCCTACCCATGATGCCGCTCTCAGAAGAGGAGGTCCGCCCATACATCAGCCGCTGTGCCGTGTGTGAGGCCCCAGCCCAGGTGGTGGCAGTGCACAGCCAGGATAAATCTATACCCCCGTGTCCACGGTCCTGGAGGAGCCTCTGGATTGGATATTCATTCTTGATGGTGAGTTCCTCACATGGAATCCTGGTATGCCCGCCATTTTGTCGTGCCCTTCTTTAGCCCTTTCCATCTGGACTGGACAATAATCCTGTGAACTCTGTGCAGACAGATAGTAGTAGGATATAAGGCCATGAAGGCCACCACAAATCACAGCCTGTTGAGATTCAGGGCCTTTTTTTTAAATCATCAATTTTTTTCTTACTTGGTAGAAATTAGGTGGTGGATCTGCTTCGGTCATTTGGTTCCATTTTGTGTGCACACCCAACAATTTCTACTACTTCTCCCTTCCTCAGAAGGCAGTATTTTGTTCTTCATGGAGTAACTTAAGGAAAAATGTTAAACTCAGGCCTAGACCTCAGGGAGTCATTGATTGAGTGTGGGGTTGTGTGTTTCTGAGCCCTAATTCTCTCTTGTTGTCTGGGTAGCACACAGGAGCTGGGTCTCAAGGCGGAGGACAGGCCCTCATGTCACCGGGTAGCTGTCTGGAAGATTTCAGAGCAGCGCCATTCCTCGAATGCCAAGGCCGGCAGGGAACGTGCCACTTTTTTGCAAATGAGTATAGCTTCTGGCTGACAACGGTGAAACCAGACTTGCAGTTCTCTGCACCGTCACCAGACACCTTAAAAGAAAGCCAGGCCCAGCGCCAGAAGATCAGCAGATGCCAAGTCTGCGTGAAGTATAGCTAGAGAACTCACAAGTCGCCAGCACATCACCCAAAGAGACTTCCTACCAAAAAGAATGGGCAGTGCTAAGAGATTTAATGGTGCTCATTTCAGACTCCAGCTTCAGCTGTTATTGCCACGGCACTGTAATTCCTTCTTCTGTTCTGTACAGATTAAGCAAACCCTACCCAGATGGATTTGTTTGGACCCACCAGTCTAGATGCAACCCAGCTATTCTGATTCTAGTGAGGGTGATGGAGGAGCTGCCTGTATTTAAAACACATGCCAATTCATGGGAAGGCTAATAGATCATAAAGCCCAGATTATAAATTACATTACTGGAAACTTCATTCATTGGTGAATAACAACTCAAACAATGGAAGTCAATCACTCTTTAACAGAGGGTGCTTCTGGCTGGATTCGTACGGGAAAAAATACACAGGCCAACACATGAAACTAGAACGTCGAGATTCTCAACATTTCAAAATGATTTCCCCCATAATTTATTTTTCTATGCACTTTAAATAATTGTAAAACCATGACCCAAAGAGATTAAAAAAAAAAAAAAAAAAAGAACACCGTCAGTCTTAACAGTTCATTTCAAAGCAGAGTGAATTATTATGCCAGAAAGGACCATGGTCACTGTGCTCCGGAGATGCAGCATTAGCATAAACACATCACAGATGAATAGAAAACATTTTGTTCTCGTCTACATTTTTCAAACAATAGAAATGCCTACTTCGGCAACCCTTTTGAAAAGTAGCAATTATGGGAAAAATATATATATTCAAAGAGGGATTAAGAGCCTAAAAGCAATTAATGAATATTAAGGCAGTCATTCACAAAAACTGACTCCCCATTTCCAAGAACTTCCAAACAGACTGCTTTTCCCCAGTCGGGGTCCATCTGTGTCCTCAGTTTGTGCCTGCTAATGGGACAGAAGCCGCATGGGGCTTCCTCAGGCGGGCACTCGGCTCATACAAAGCGGCTCGCTCCCTCCCCAGGAGAGCCCTGGGAGCTGCCTTCCAGCTCAAAGTGGACACTTTCCCTTCAGACACATAATGGCCCCTCATGAGGGGAAGTGACAGAGCTATCATTATGCACTTGGGAGAAAATTAAGGGCCGACATAATTAAGTGTAGGTAAGAAAATTTATTTAAGTCAGGGTCACCCCACCAGGAAGACGTACCACTATCTTTAAATGAACAAAGACACTCTGTAATTTGAATTTTATGTTCCTGTTACTGGTTTGAGGAGCCCTGGTGGCGCACTGGTTAAGCGCTCGGCTGCTAACCAAAAGGTCAGCAGTTTGGACCCACTAGCTGCTCCATGGGAGAAAGATGTGGCATATAGCCTTGGAAACCCTGTGGGGCAGTTCTACTCTGTCCTATAGTGTCGCTGTGAGTCGGGATCAACTCGATGGCAGTGGGTTTGGGTTTGGCTTTTGGTTACTGGTTTTTACAGGAGCATCCTGTTTTCTGGTTTGGAAAACATTTCTTATATTTTATATCCGTATTGTACATACCAAGGCCAGAATCTTGACGTTTAACAGTACTATTTTCTGTAAAAGTTTAGAGGCAATGTCAATTTATATTAGGTTTCTGAATAGCAAAGGATGCATTTTTTTTTGCTAAGAATTGAGTGGTCTAATCCTAAAAATCAAAAGCCTTGTTGGAAGAGGTTTTTAGGAAACCCTTCCGGCTTCCTCATTAAAAAAAAAGTCATTTAGAGAAAACTGAAGAATGACATTTCTCATGAGAGAGTGACACTCATTTTAGTGTTGGGTTTCAATGCACTTAAAAATAATTGAAAGAAGAAAAACTCAATTAAAATGTTATTTATTTATTGTGTTTCTTGCCAGACACAGATTAGGAATGAGCTCTTAAGTACAGAAAACATTCCAAATGAGTCTTGCTCCCGGCTGCCCCCAGGATGGCAATTTATCTTAAAGCACTTTCTAGTAAAAAGAAAACAATGTACATTTTAAAACGAAGTATTTTCTTGATGTAGCAGAATATTTTCTAGTTCATTTGCCCCATTTACTCCATTTTTAACCGTGCTATGGCAAGTTAAATTTTGAGGGGGACCCTGAAGTTTAAGCCAAATTCAACATTATCTGTAATTAGACTTTTCTCTGTTTCCAAAAGCTTTCTCTGTTACTAAAAGGCAAGGAACCTAAAAGTTCATCTCGTTCGTTCATAATCTTGGTCTGAGTACATTTTCTGGGAAGAGTTGCAGGTGATAATGGGACATAAGAAACATACCTTGCTTGCTAAATTAAACAGTTTACCTTTGGTATTAGAGTCTGATCTTAACAAGCTTTTCAGATAACATGCAAAAAGAGGCTGATTTAAGTGGACCATTTACTCGACGGTGAGCTCGGAATGACGCGAGTTGACACCAACTGTTCAAAATATTTCAACATGTTTGAGTGTGGGAACATATCCGCACAGCCATGATCTCCTGTTACAGCTATTGACAGAAAGCCAATTGATAAACTTTAACCATTACTCCCCTGCCCCCCCCCCCAAAGTCTTACTTTCCTATAAACTGAGATTTCAGAAATGATGAGATTTGAGAGGGCATATTGGTTGAGAAGACTTCACTGAAATGTGACATGGCTGAAGTCATGAGGGAATACCCGCTACAGCTTGAGTGAAGAGCTTTCAAGTACAAAGTTACCTCATGAAGTCTGTATATGTGTTATCAGTGCTTAGAATATCTTACCGATATCTCAAGAGATCTCCAAGGGCAGCGCAAACGTTGTCTTCTGATTTTGAAAAAGTATTTTAAATGGCCTAAAAGGGCAGAATGATAGTAAAAAATACTTCTTGGAATAGAAGGCCATGTTGTTAAAGTCATTATTCTCTTCACCTATTTATATATCAATATATTTTGATATATAATATCCTTTCTCTGTGAAGCAGATGGACAAAGTGTTAGGTTATTTTCCTAGTCCAGTACTGATGATTATTCTTATCAAAAGCTCCTTCCCAAGAACCTCTGCCTTCTTGGCTGGAAGGTGCCTGGATTTCCTGTGGGAACTGGTCTAGAGGGCTGGGAAGTGTCCTCTGGGTTCTCATTCTCGGTGAATGGCACCCCATCCATGCTGCGAGTGTCGCCATTCCTTCTCCTCCCTCTCTCCCCAGATCTAAACTTCAGTCACCAGCTCCTGCTGATGTCTACCTCCTCTTGAGATTTATTGTAACTGCCGTAACACAGCCTTTGTCTTCACCTATGCTCTTGCCAGGATCTCCCAACAGGTGCCTCCAGTTTCAAACACATTGTCCCCACTCTAAGACGTAAACTTGATTTTGTTACTCTCCTGCTTAAAATGCTTCAATGACTCCACTGCTTGGGAAGTCCAAATGGTTTCACAGTGGGGTGGAAGGTCCGGCAGACAGGAGCTGGCTCACCTTTAGGTGTGTGTCTTGCCATGATGAACTGTGTGCAGTTGGGTGAACACTCATGGTGTGTTCCTACCTCTGTGGCTTTGCTCCTGCTCTAAGGGTGATGACATCCTCCAGGACGATTTACCTGGCAGACACCTACATATCTTTAAAGACAGAATTCAAGGGTCACCTCTCCCTTGGAGAATGGGGCCCCTTTCTTCTGTCTTCAGTACAATCAGCCCACTCTCTTGCCATTCCTCCACTGCTCCCATAATGTTTCAGCACTTCCTTGATTCTCTTGCTAAAATTGTAAGCCCCTCGAGGGCAGGGACCATGCTTTACTCATCTTCGTATACCCAGTGTCTAGTACTGAGCTGAGCCCAGTACTGACACATTTCTCAGTGACAACTCCCTAAGTGTCATTAGGTGCTCAGCTCTGTATAAGGGGTCTTCACAGGCAAACCAATATAAGCCATGACTTTTTTCCACATATTTGAATGTGGCAACATACATGTGCACAGCCACAATCTCCTATTAAAATTACTGACAGAAAGCTGATTGATAAGCTGTAACTATCATCCAAAAAAAGATTATTTTTCCATATACTGATATTTCAGAAATGATGAGATTTGAGAGGGGGTATTGGTTGAGAGAAGACTTCATTGGAATGTGAGATGGCTGAAATCATGAGGGAATACCCATTACAGCTTGACTTGAGAGCTTTTGAGTAAAAGTTGCCTCATGAAGTCTGTATACATGTTGCCGGTTATCGGTGCTTAGGAAAAGAGTTGACAGAATGGTCTATTAAAATTGGATTTTATCAAAGATTTTATTTTGAGCCTTTTGGAGTTTACAATAGAGCAAATCATTCTGTGTGTGTTCTAGGAAATTATAATAGACTTGGGTTTCTATCAGCTCACCCGACTAATTTGCCAAGTGTGACTTTTGCTTGGTATAGCTGCAAGAATGTGGAAAGATGTAGACTTTAGTGGTGGTGTAATAGTTAAACACTTGGCTGCTAACCAAAAGGTCAGCTGCTCCTCAAGCAAAAAGACCTGGCGATCTGCTCCCATAAAGATTACAGCCTAGGAAACCCTATGGGGCAGTTCTACTCTATCATACAGGGTTACCATTAGTTGGAATCCACTCGACGGCACACAGCAACAACAACGATCCCGGGTTTAAGTCCTGCTCTATCACTTCCCAGATGTGTTACCTGGGTAATGTCGCCAACTCCCTGAGCCTCATTTTACTCATTGATAAGATGGGACATGACACCTACTCTTGCTTAAAAATTAAGTTAGAGTCTATGCCTAGCACATACCAGCCATCAAATATTTATTATGATCACATCTTCTATTTAAAATAAACTAATATGAAAAATAATTCTTTTTTTTTTTTTTTTACACAGTGGAAATACAATTCTCACAGGGCATATAAATTACTGATTGGAATTATTTATACCTGCCAATTCTCGATGTCTTTGGGAATGCTGTTTTGTTTCAATTCTCAAAGTTACTGTACCACACACACACCCAAAAACACACACAAATCAGTTTCCTGCAGGGACATTATCAGGAAATTCTGCAGGGAACAAAACAATCGACATTAAAAATCAGTACTCTGCAATTGT